TGCATCAAGGACAAGGCCCAGTCATTATGTAAGCTGGTCGTTCATCTCTGACCGTGGCATTAATTTTTATCGCTGCGTACGCGCATGGTACAGATAAACGCGTATAAGGGCTATAATTGAGTGGCAAATGTCAACAATGGTGTTTGGTGTGGTTAAAAATTGAGCCTTAATACGATTTGCACTAAATACACTTTTTGCAAAAGTTTTTGAAATTGGAGGGAATTTGTGGACTCTGTATGCTGTTTTGATCACCTTTGTGGTAAACCAAAATAAATTGACGTTTTCCTCGTGTTTTTCTCTCTCACTCTGGATTGAGAATTTGAGGATATAACCAGATCGCAAATTCAAGTGTCACTAATTGGATTTCATTTGACTGCTGGACTATTGTGTGCACTCCTCCTATATTCTTCTGATTAATTTCGTTGCGTGTCCAATGACAGTTTAACTTTCCCCCGGGACAAACTTGACCTTCACTGGTTGGGTTATGGCGGTCAAGCTGTAGATCCTGGCTACACAGGAGTTGCAGCGGTGTGAACGAGAGGTGAGAATAGTCCCGTATGACTCTGTTTTACATAAAAAAATATGAAGTTTCAAATCTCCATTTATTATTCGCTCAAAAAAACTGTTCTGTCTAAATTTTTATATGGATTTGAAATAGGATCTCCTTTACATCGATGACTTGGTCATTGATTCACGTTCTAATAGCACATCTTAAGCTTACCATGGTAGTTTCTTATCGTCGTTGTAATAAGAGCGAGTTTGCAATAAAAGTGTATAGTCTTATGTGCTATCGACAGTTGTACGAGTATATACCGTTATGTACATCTTGACCGGTTATCTGACGGATAATTTCGCATAACTTTAACATAAATATATTTGTGGATGTTAAAACGGGACTTTTGTAATACTTTCCTTATGATATGTGAGCGAATTGATTTCCAAAGGAACACTGACAAAACAAAAATATTGCAATTTTAGTGTTGGAAAATTATAGTCGTCATTAAAGCAGGAAAAATAAACGAATTGAAGTTTGTAATACCTAAACTACATTTTTTGATATGATAAACTTGGGTAATGCCAATCAAAATTTGAAAGTTTGAAACTATCTACGAGTAGCTCACCTACCTATACCTACTTGTGAAATTTTGAAAAAGAGGCTGACTAATGCCCCTTTTCACCATCTATCCCTAATTTTTATGTGACCTATATGAAAACAAAACTCCTGTTAAGTGTTACCATAAGGGTCACTTAAAAATTAGGGATTGATGGTGAAAACGGGCATAATTTTCTCGCTGCTTCGTCTTATCATTTTCCCATGTTTTTCTCCCGAAACAGTGACAGAGAATGCAAAATAATTATATTGAGACGTGTGATTTTTTTTATTTTAAACATGACCAAACCAAATGAGGTCACAATGACCTCATTTACTGAAAACCACACGAGTGTCCATTCTTATCAGTGACGCCAACTTATTGAGGGAAAAAAAAATCCTCTCCCGATCTCCTTGCTAAGTCAATCAAAACATCGTATGTTCTTAGTATCTTAGCGGTAAAAAACAGGCTCGCTTATAAACCGCTAGCCGGCGCAAGCGCATCACGCGATGCCGCGCCACCGGCCTTGGCCAATCCGCGCGAGCGACTAAAACGAACGACCAATCACAGCGCGGGAGGTTTGCGCGATTCGCGCGCGTTTTGTTTCGTATTACGAACTAGCGATGTGACGGTAAGGAAAAACAATCGATAAAAATCGATGTATTTGTTTTAAATACTAATCGATTTGGGAGAAATTAGGTTTTTCGAGTAATCAAGTCGGTATTTGTTTCGTGTTACGAACTAGGGATGTGACGATGAGGGGGAAAAATCGATTTTACCGTTTTCAAATTTTTTTTTCTCAAAACATCAAGTTATAAAAGGTCAAACCTTCCTTTTGCATCTGAATTGGAAAGGATAGTAAGTACTGCTACAGAAGAGGCTAATAAATCACTTACCTGATGATGCTGATGAATGAAAAGTTGTGGAAAAAGTAAAAAGTTCATCACTTTTATAGGTATTTTATTTGATTTAAGCTCTCGTTTGAACGTTCTGTCCGCTGTCTATTTTACCGGTCGTAAAAGTAAATCGATATTCTTAGAAAACCATTACTAATTAATTAATCTATTTTTCGAAATGTCAAAACTGAATAAAATTAATCGACTTTTAAATAATCGATTACTTTATCACATCCCTACAATGTAGTACAAACTTTTTTTTCTTAACTTTTTAGGCTTGTGCATAAAAAATGTTCAATTCGGACAGGTGCTTCCACGCGCACTGTGAGACCTCATAGTAATGTTATTTTCTAACTCAGTTACCCATTTATGGATTTCAAATCAGTTAATATTAAACATGTACACTGTACAGTTAATTGAAAACTAATCGGGTTTCTAGGGCTTAATTATAAAGTGTTTTTTGTAAAGTTGTTTTGATAAAAACAATTCTGAAACAATTCTGATAAGTTCCTGTCAGCAGCTTCTAATTCTTTCTTCATAAGTGCCAAAATACTGGTCAAAATTGAATAAATATTTTTGATTGGATTTGATATCTTACTCAGCATTAATTATTGTTAATTTGCTGTGACGTCATAATTGAGGAATTACCGAATGTAAAATTAATATTAATTGCCATAACAATAATCAGATATTGTCTTATTATCAAGTTGAAACATTAATAAGCTTTGGCAAAAATAAATCAAAATCTAAACTCCTTGATATGATCTCTTTTTATCAAAGATTATTTGATTACAACTGATAATTGTCTGTTTCTGTTGCCTTTTTCTTTTTTAATCAATTTTGTTTTGATTTCAACCTTTATTTCCAAAAGTTCCCTTTTATTTAGTAGAATATTAGAATTACTTCGTGTTTTTGCAAATAATCTCAATATTATTGTCATATCTTCCCTCGGGACAAACTTGACCTTCACTGGTTGGGTTATTGGCGGTCAAGCTGTAGATCCTGGCTACACAGGAGTTGCAGCGGTGGGAACGAGAGGTGGGAAGAGTCCCGTATTACTTCAATGTAATATCTTATAATTNATTATTACTGTAATGTCTGGTTCTCTTATAATTTTTTCAAGATATAAATTAACCAATAAAACATTTATTTGGCAAAATAAACCTCTATTCAATTACTTCTTGCATGATAAGCTAAATCCTGATGAGCCAATAGAAACTGCATCTCGCGTGATTCGCGCCAATTTTAACGATCTGTCATTTTACTTTTTTAAACGATCGTGTGTTTTGGCACGCGACCACCCGTTATTCGCCACCTTGTTTTTAAAAATTAATTAGTAATTAGGATAATTCTGTACCCCCAGTGAAAAGGGAGTTAAGTCGAAAATGGTGATTTTTGGGAAATCGCATTTGAAGTTAAAAAAAATCCTGCTNATCAGCGATTGTGACGTAATTTTGAATTAATTGTGTGAATTTTGATTCAATGAGGGCTATCGTTTTTATACTTAACAGTTGGCACCCCTGGCGATTGACAGGACCTTACTCTACAGTGGCGCTAACTGGTAAGCGCTAAAACGATAGCCCTCATTACGAGTGTTTTATTTATGACACACGTGACATGAATTTACTGAGAAATCATAAACAATCTTTTAGCTTAGCCACACACCACCGACTTTTAGTTGGCCGATAGTTGGGTCGTGCTGTTAATCAGTATGGAGATGTATGAAAGTGCGCACATTACGCCGATTTGGTATCGGCCGATTCTTCATACAAATTAGAATCGGGCCCAACTATCGGCCATCTAAATGTCGGTGGTCTGCGCCTAGGCTAATATATCGTTACTAAATATCATCTAAATTCTAAATAAAATATAGTTTAAACGCTTATCTATAAAAAGTAATAAAACACTGATGATTTTACAATTGAGCTAACTACGCACCTCGCTGAAATGCGTCTCTCATTCACCCGAACACTTTCCCGCGTTCGCCCCATTCGTACCAGCGGGGTACCTACTCTGAAAAACGTTATCCAAAGTTTCGAATGTTGCTATCCCTCTCACGCAAAGCGACTAGCCAGCGCGAGCGACGGTGACAAATTGACCAGAAACAACGTAAACGGTGTTTCGGAGTAGCCCCGCAGAGCGGCGATGTGACGTCACGGCTGCCAGGTGCGCAGTAACTCGACCGTACTCGGTTTTATGTGGATTACTAATGTTTGGCCAAAAAACGTTTCCCAAATTATCACATCGCAAACAACGTTTCGCAAATTTTCATTTGGCAAAACAACTTATTGCAAATGTTAAATTCGCAAATGTCATTTTTGGCATATTATTGTTTACCAAATTGTTGTTTGGCAGAGTATGTTCTGTCAAATGTTTCATTTGGCAAAACTTACATTTCCCAAAATATTTCACAATAAACAATTTACAAATTAATTTGACTGAATGGAATACAAATTAGCTTGTGGTTATTATTTTGTTTAGAGGGTAGTTAATATAAAGTTTGTTCTAAATTAATTTTCATATTTCAGCCTTTTTATCGAAATTTCCAAATGATTCATTAACAAAACAATAAAGGTGATTCTAGCGCTCGATGGTCACTGTTCTAACCTAACCTAACCTACTATTTTCTGCAATACCTAATTTCTGCAACCATTCTATTTTCTGCATTCTCTTTGTTTTACATAAAATTCTTGTGAAAACCATGATCATGTGCCTTATGCTTTACGTGAAGTGTCAATTTGACCAAACAAATTATTTGGGACATAATATTTGGCAAAATATTTTTTTTTGTTATTTAAACATTTGGCAAGTAAACTTTTGCCAAATGATAATTTCACCAAATGAATTAGTTGCGAAAAGTACAGTTGCTAAAAGTTCATTTGGGAAATGAGACTTTGGCGATAAGTTGTTTGCGAAGTGAAATTTGGCGAAAAGTAATTTGGCCAAACGGAAGGATACCGTTTTATGTACTGTTATAGAAGATTTCTAAACATACTTTTTCTGTTGTTTTCAGATACAATCAAGTTCATATGACGCGAGGTCACAACAACTAAACACAAGATGTCGTCCAAAGCCATATACGAGGGTACCGGCAAAGAACTCATTAACAGGTAATTAAATATCATTTTTAGGGTTCCGTAAACGAGCTAAAGACCGGCGATCGACGACCGACGATCTGGTAAAGGTCGCGGGAGGTGCCTGGATGCGAGCGGCGCAGGACAGGTCTTTGTGGAATTCCTTGGAGGAGGCCTTTGTCCAGCAGTGGACGTCTTTCGGCTGAAACGAACGACGAACGAAACGAACTAAAGACGGTGACATAGCCCGACGGATTAGCAAGCTAGTGGCAATAGGCAGGGCACATAATACGCAAAACTGACGGCCAATGGTTCTGGAGTGGAGGACAAATACCGGAAAACGCAGTGTGAGACGTCCACCCACAAGGTGGACCGACGACCTAATAAAGGTAGCAAGAAGGCGCTGGATGCAGGCCGCTATAGTTGGGTCTGCGAGCACGTAGAATTTTGTCCAATGACCCCAAGCTACCCATCCTTGTCGCTCGCGAGTAATTACATATGTTGCTATCGCGCTCGCATCATACTCACTGCGGGCGCCCGTCGCACAGTCGCGACAGCAATATAATTACGCGCGAGCGATAAGGATAGATAGGTAGCTTGGGGTCATTGGACAAAATCCTACGTGCTAACAGACCGGGCTTTATTAACCGTGTAATGTGGAAGGTCTGCCTTGTTGTTATGCATTAAAAAACAATGTCATTGGAGGAGGCCTATGTTCAGCAGTGGACGTCATGTGGCTGAAACGAATAAACGAACGATTTTAAACTGCAACTATGTTTATAATAAGTAAATAAACATATATTTAATGTTTCCAGACACATAGCATCGGGCACGGCGCTGGTACCGTGCCGGTTCGCGACATTCGAACAGAACACCGTCTGGGAAGATGAGCTGGGCAAGAACCCGTGGCTCTCCAAAGAGGTAAGCCATTTCTATTTTATTCTAGCTGTTGTCTGCGGCTTCGCCCGCATGAAATTCTGTCTGTCACAGAAAAACTTAGTAAAAACTATCCTGTCCTTTCCTGGAACTTTTATATTTCTATACCAAATATCATCAAAATCCGTTAGAGGTTAGACAAAGATAGACAGACTTACTTTCACTTGTATTTTGTATAGTCAACTATTCATCTTCGTTGCAAAATCACAACTGAATAAGATGCCCGAGTCTTTTACATTTAAAATGTTTATTTATTTATTTATACGTTATCTTGTACCCATACCCCCTTATTAATATGGAAAAATATGAAAATGTCATTTTAATCCAGAGTTCATCCTAGGTGTAACTTTTTATTAATAAGTTTAATTAGTATAAAAGCTTGGGATTACATAAATGATGCAGTGCAAGATATCCAAAGATATTAATTTCTCTTAAAATCTTTATTGTAATACCAAAATAGTAAAACCAAAAGCGCTTTTCAAATATACTTGCAAAAAAGACATAAGAGTTTTGTGAGTTAAATATTTCAGAAGTATCTACCTACTTGATTATGAATTTATACATTTTATACTAATTTAGTTTATTTATCTTTCCAGCAACTAGTAGTAAAGCCGGACCAGCTCATAAAGCGTCGCGGCAAGCTCGGTCTGGTCGGCGTGAATAAGACAGCGTCTGAAGTCAGACGATGGCTGGGCGAGCACATGAACAAGTCACAGCAAGTCGGCGCGGCCACGGGCAAGCTGCGGCATTTCATAGTGGAGCCGTTCGTGCGGCACGAGCCGGTGAGTGCTGTCGCAGTCACTAAAGCAGCGGTTCCCAAACTTATTTAGTTTACTGCCCACTTTGAGAATAAATTATTTTTTAGCGCCCCCCATTTTTGTAGTCAAGAGTCGAGCTCAGTCGGTGTCTAAGAGTCCTCCTAGTAGATGACGTCTCCCAAGCCTCTACACAACGTTCCGATTTTTTTTCTGGGTCTCTTACCGCCCCCCTTTAAGCCTGCAGCGCCCACAAGGGGGCGTTATCGCCTACTTTGGGAAAGACTGCACTAAAGCCTGGTCCGTGAGCACGTAGAATCCCGTCCAATGACCCCAAGCTGCCCATCCTTATCGCTCGCGCGTAATTATGTTGCTGTCGCGACTGTGCGACGCGCGCCCGCAGTGAGTGTGCGAGCGCGACCGCAACATGATTACGTGCGAGCGACAAGGATGGGCAGCTTGGGGTCATTGGACGGGATTCTACGTGCTCACGGACCAGGCTTTACACTGGCGGTAGAGAGAGACGGCGGGTGTAGCGCTCAACTCTGAACACGCGTCCGAGGTCAGGCGATGGCTGGACGAGCACATGAACAAGGCGCAACAAGTCGGCGCGGCCACGGGCAAGCTGCGGCATTTCATAGTGGAGCCGTTCGTGCGGCACGAGCCGGTGAGTGCTGTCGCAGTTAGGGTTGCCAGGCGTCCGGCTTTAGCCGAACATGTTTGGCTTTTTACGGTCTTGTCCGGCCAAATATTGTCTTGTCCAATGACCCCATGTTGTGTACTATCTCACTCATGAGCTATGATACTAATTGCCCCCCCCCCGGTCCGGCTTTTAGGGTAATATGTCTGGCCAAATGACGCACAGAGTCCGGCTTTTGTGTTTTTGGACCTGGCAACCCTAGACTCGCAGTCGCTACACTGGCGGTAGAGAGAGACAGTCATTTTTTTGGAGACAGGCACTATAGGTCTAGCACTTAACTCAGATAGTGTTAGTTAAGCGTTAGAGGGTGTTTTAGGGATGTCAAACGTCAGCAAGACTCTGACGTCACCCCTTCCGTGCCGCTCCCATACCTCATGGGGTAACATTGGCATATGTATTATGACGTAACAGAATACAAATCCGAAGCATTTCTGAAGTCTCGCTGACGTTTGATGTCCCAAAAACTTTTTAGACGGGTTCTCCGTCTCTTAGACAAGATTGATCTGGTGATACTGCATACTGGTATGTAGGGGCATACAATTATCAGGCGAAGTCAGCTACCCTCGTTACTTACGTAGGGTTGCCATCTCTAAAATTTGGTAATCAGGACAAGACCCTGATGGATTTTGGAGCTCAGAACCCGGATATAACAGGTTTTTATAAAACATAGGCGCATCGCCCGGCATGGCCTAAGAGTCGAATTTTTTACCGGAAAACAAATAAAACCCACCCGGACGCCCTTTTTACGCCCTCTAAACTACTTACGCCTATGGCATGGTATTTATGTCGAAGTATTTTCTGATTCATTTAAACAGGTTTTAACGCGATACGAAATGTCAGGCAAATATACGTAATATTTCAATGTTACCTATCCGCGTATCGTTTTAAAACCTGTTTAAATTAATTCAATTATGCAACGCTAAAGTTTAAAATTAGTTATTTTTTTATAACCATCATTCAAATCTACTTCTCTTCTTGCAGAACGAAGAGATGTACCTCTGCATCCAGTCGGGAAGGCGCTCCGATACCATCCTGTTCCACCACCAGGGCGGAGTCGACGTTGGTGACGTAGACGCCCTGGCTATCAGGCTTGAGGTGAGTCGATACAAAATGCTTTGTATTATTTTTCTTTTTCTTTTTCTTTTTCTTTTTCTTTTTCTTTTTCTTTTTCTTTTTCTTTTTCTTTTTCTTTTTCTTTTTCTTTTTCTTTTTCTTTTTCTTTTTCTTTTTCTTTTTCTTTTTCTTTTTCTTTTTCTTTTTCTTTTTCTTTTTCTTTTTCTTTTTCTTTTTCTTTTTCTTTTTCTTTTTCTTTTTCTTTTTCTTTTTCTTTTTCTTTTTCTTTTTCTTTTTCTTTTAGAGTTTAGTTAAAAGTATTTAAGTATGTTGTTTATATCCGTTGTCTAGTACCCATAGTACAAGCTTTGCTTAGTTTGGGACTAGAAGCGTAGTGTAAAATGTCCAAGGATATTTATTTTTCTTTTTTGTTTTCTTTTTGTTTTTGTTTTTCCTTTCTTTTTCTTATGTTTCTACTTATATTCTTCCGCTATGGACATAATGTATGTAACAATAATTCAAGCTTTGCTTAGTTTGGTACTATTTCAGTTGCGCTCTTTTCACAAATAGGGAGTCGAAAAAAATACATTTTCCATTTGTTAAATAAAAAATAAAAATAAATACATTTTACTAGTCACCTAGTCAGTCTTGAGAATTACGAAAATGCATGCTGAAAAAATCTATTTTTTCCTAGTAAATAATAATAAAAATGTGTTATTTTGATTTATTGATAGTGATTATTTGTCTGTATATCAAAATTGTTTGTTTCCCTAATATAAATAAATAAATTATTCTTTTAATAGGACAACCAAAAAGACAGACACTAGAAGACAATCAATATTTACTTACAGTGTATTTAAACCTAATGCTGCCCTAAATATTGACGATATCTTTTCCTTGGGGATCATTATTATTTAACTTTCAGAATATTAGTATTATTGTGTTGGGCATTAAAATAATAGTAATTTAACAATTTCAGATCCCCGTTGACACTTTTCCATCTGGAGAGGACATCGAACGCACTCTGCTGAAGAACGTCAAAGCCGCCAACATCAAGAGGTAAGCCTACGTTTCTAATAAATAAAAACTACTAGCTTTTGCCCGCGGCTTCGTCCGGTCTGACAGAGTATTATAGCGCGCGTGTCCGTAGATAAACAAATAACATATTGACCTTCCTTCTTTTGGAATTTGAACTGGAGCAGTCAAATAAACCCATAAAACTTATTTATTTTTGCAAATAGGCTTTTAAAAAGCACTTTTACACGTCCCAGTATTAACCCTACCACTGCTTCGGGACAATAAATGGGCCAGTGCTGAGAAGAAGCAGCGCAAGAAACTCAGTCACTATTACCTACATAAATAGCCCACCAATAGGGCATCCTGTATATTGGTAAAGAAAGAGGGAATGAGTGATAGTTTGAGACCAGTGAACCGATTACGCGAATTTTTAACGTCTCCAATACATACGCGCTTCTTCTCCAGTTGCGCTCCGTTTTTCATTCCAGCTGAGGTGCAAATTCGGTATCACGGTAATGGACGTACCTTCCTAGTATTTTCATTGTCACATGAGATATTTAGCTTTACGTTTACGTCTGTGCTTCGTTTCAACTAGCTGTCAAAACGACACCGCGATACGGATTAATGAGGGTTTTCGCGAATGAAAAATCCGCCAGATGGCAATACATAGACGCGAGGTCCAAATGCTGCATGATTGGTTATTTTTGACATGACATTGACAGATATGTCAAAATCCACCAATCACGCAGCAGTCAGACCCCACATCCACGTCCCGCCATCTAGTGGATCTTTCATTCGCGAAAACTCTCATTGTCAAAACTGCTGATGTTCGTTCGTCGTCCGGGCACGTTGAAGATGACAATTTTTAGCGTAATCGGGGCCCAGAAATAATATAGGATAGTTTTTATTCCGAAAATCATCAAATTGACGCTATATCGATTAATCTCTCTTTTCCAGGATATTAACAACTTTCATCGTGTCCCTCTACCGTGTGTACGTAGACCTACACTTCACTTACATGGAAATCAACCCCATCGTGGTCACCAACGAACGTATCTATTTGTTGGGTGAGTTATTCATTTGGCTTACTAATTTCTCATATTGTTTCGAGCTCAGACTTTCGAATATTATGTAGGAATAAGGGTCTCTTCAATGACTAATTATTATTGAAATTACGGTTTTAACGTTTATTTAAAGTGATAGGTTTACAGACTGTATGCAACGAGATCAAATTGTCGAGTGTTAGAAACGTTCAGTTACAGTTACAGTTTGGGCTCGTTCGTTTTGTATTGATGAGTATTTTAATTCTATATAGTAATCAGGATCTAATGATGGAGCTGGAAGGTAATTCGCAATAAAACGACACAATCGCATCAAGTTTGGGTTTGGTTCAATTTTAATTTCTGTGATGGGTCTGGGTGTTAATATGTATAATAAGTTTGTATTTACAAAAAAAAATGTATTTAAGTATGTTTATATCCGTTTTCTAGTGAGCGGACACTGTGAATGTACGTCACGCGGGGTCACGTGACCGTCGGCGGGAGTCAATATTTAAACGAACTTTGAATGCTTATAAAATCATAACTACTGGGTATTTTTGAATGAAATAAAAACTAATGTATTTGTAAATGTTAAAGCTTAACTGTAACATAGGTTTCAAGTGATTTTGCATACCTAGTAACATTCTCAATTAGACATAGGAAATGGGAGATAACTTTTAATTTTCTTCGTATTCTATCTCTACGAGTACAAATGATTACAGTGTCTACAAGATGGCGTTGTAAGATACATAATATAATATGTCAAAATGATTGTGAAGAAAGATCAAGAACTATTTGACCCAAAAATATTTGTGAAACGTGTGTTCCCGAGGTCGATATCATCAAACATTTGTGCATATCTTAAATCTGTATAAGAATGGTTTTTACATTTAAAAATGTGTATGATTAAAAAATGAGACTAATTTAGTACTTGTGTGCCAAGGTTTTTTAGCAATGCATTTATCGGAATCTAACTTTTAGCCTAGGCGTACCTTTAGCTTAGACTTTTACCCCCTTACTAATAAAACTTACACGCTCGTTGAACAGTGTTTTAAAGTGACGTTTAGTATGGAAATGTCATTTTAAAACAGTGTTCAACAACTGTGTAACTTTTTATTAGTTAGGGGATTAGTTGGCGAATAGTTGGGTTGTGCTGTTAATCAATATGGACACGTATGAAAGTGCGGACATTACATGGATTTGGTATCGGCCGATTCTTCATACAAATTAGAATCGGGGCAAACTATCTGCCAACTAAAAGTCGGTGGTCTGCGCCTAGGCTTAACCGATTTAGAAAGAAAGAAAGAAAGAAAGAAACATTTATTGCCATGGACATCACAAAAGACAAAAGAGGTAAAATGAAAAAAAAAAGCAAATAAGACAGAGGTGACATAAAACATACAATGAATGAGCAAGTAAACTAAGCAGTGCCACCCTGTCGCACAGCGATGCCCATCGCAATGGGACCCCACTCAGCATATGCCGTGGCCCCCGGTGAGGGAAGCCACGACGCTTACGCATGACGCATTTAAAAAAGGAGGTTCTCAGGTTTTCCAATTATTCACCAGACTTGGCCGCCAAGCTGGACCAGACGGCGGACTTCATCTGCGCCAAGAGCTGGGGCGAAGTGGTGTTCCCGCCGCCCTTCGGCCGCGACGCCTACCCAGAGGAGGCGCACATCGCCGACTTGGATGCTAAAAGCGGTGCCAGCTTGAAGGTAGCTATACTACACTAGAGTCCACTAAATACATGAGTCCACTAAACACACTAGAGTCCACTCAACACACTAGAGTCCCCTCACCGGTCGCCAAGAGCGGCGCTAGCTTGAAGGTAGTTACAATTTAGACTACGCTACAGTACAGCAGACTATACTAGAGTCCATTCAATACATAGAGAGTCCAATCAATACATAGAGAGTCCCTCAACCACTAGAGTCCACTCAATACATAGAGTCCACTCAACACACTAGAGTCCCCTCGCTACACTAGAGTCCCCTTACTACTCTAAGAGTCCACTCAACACACTAAGAGTCCACTCAATACACCAAGAGTCCACTCAACACACCTAGACTCCACTCAACACACTAGAGTCCACTCAACACACTAGAGTCCTATGTCAATAACAATGACTCATAGTCTCAGAGGGCTTCGGCGGATACCGTCGGGTTTTTAGTGGGTAGGGCCCCCTCCTTCTAACTGAGAGAGTCCCACATAACCCACATGCCATCAATTCTGTCATGTTTTTTTATGGATACCTTCGGGTTTTTAGCGAGTAGACCCCTCCTTCTAGCGGAAAGTTCCACATAACCCACAGGCCGTCAATTCTGTCATGTTTTTTATGGATACCTTCGGGTTTTTAGCGGGTAGACTCCTCATTATAGCGGAAAGTCCCACATAAATTACAGGACGTGAATTCTGTCATGGTTTTTTATGGATACCTTTGGGTTTTTAGCGGGTAGACCTCTCCTTTTAGCGGAAAGTCCCACATAACCCACAGGCCAATTCTGTCATGTTTTTTTACATACATTTTTTTGCTTTTGCTTTGCTTTTTAATAAGACTATTTTTCTTTTCAGTTAACCATCCTAAACAAGTCCGGCCGTATCTGGACGATGGTAGCCGGGGGCGGAGCCTCTGTAGTCTACACCGATACCATCTGCGAGCTCGGAGGCGCGGCTGAACTGGCCAACTATGGAGAATACTCCGGAGCACCTACTGAAGGCCAGACAGCTGACTACGCCAAGACCATCTTCAGTCTGATGTGCAGGGAGAAACACCCTAACGGCAAGGTGAGTGCGTTAGATGATAGCGTTAAAATAAAACGTTACACAAAATACCTGCAGTCTTGGGGTTTATTGTGCTAAGATTTGGTCTTTAGTCTGTCTAAGGAGAAATATCAATGGTTAGGTGGGTTGCGTTGGGTGTTTTACGATAGTAGGGATCTAAGGCTGAGTTGCACCATCTTACTTTAACTTTGACAAACGTCAAAAATATGTCAAACTCCATACAAAAAGCACCGGTTATCGTTATAGTTATGGTCAAAGTTAGGTGGTGCAACTAAGCCTAAGTAATATCATGGAGGGTACTCCGGAGCACCCACAGAAGGCCAGACAGCTGACTACGCGAAGACCATCTTCAGTCTAATGTGCAGGGAGAAACACCCTAACGGCAAGGTGAGTTGTGGAAATGTTGGTTGAAGCGTTGGGTGATAGCGTTAAAACAATACGTTACGCGATAACAGTGTCAAGTGAGACTTTGTCCAGCATTATTGGGGGTCGACTATGCTATGATGCCCAAACGGCAAGATAAGTTGTGTTACGTCTATAATACATTGACACCATATGTGAACTCGGAGGCGCCGCCGAACTGGCCAACTATGGAGAATACTCCGGAGCACCTACTGAGGGACAAACTGCTGACTACGCGAAGACCATCTTCAGTTTGATGTGCAGGGAGAAACACCCTAACGGCAAGGTGAGTTGTGGAAAGTTTGGTTGAAGCGTTGGGTGATAGCGTTAAAACAATACGTTACGCGATGATAGTGTCAAGTGAGACTTGTCCAGCATTATTGGGGGTCGACTAGGTTATGATGCCCAAACGACAAGGTGACCTGCGTTGGGTGATTGATAGTAGGGTCTGTTCGCAGATTGTATCTACACCGATACAATCTGCGAACTCGGAGGCGTGGCTGAACTGGCTAACTATGGAGAATACTCCGGAGCACCCACGGAGGGACGAACAGCTGATTACGCGAAGACCATCTTCAGTCGGATGTGCAGGGAGAAACATCCTAACGGCAAGGTGAGTGCGTTGGACGATAGCGTTAAAATAAAACGTTACACAAAATACCTGCAATCTTGGGGTTGATTGACGTTAGGTGATTGCGGATTTAAGTCGTTATGCGATAATACACCCTGCAGTCCGGTATTATTGGGAACTAGAGATCTACCTTAATTTGCTATGAATGCAAGATCTGTAATACATTGCTGTCTGCGTATTTGGGTAGTAATATTTACATTTCAGATAAACCTTACCTTAGTTCTGTGATAAAAATATTTTTAAGCAAGTTTGCTTCCAATGCGCCTTGTAAGCCACTTGTGAGACACAATGTGAAAGATGAGATACCTATAGTAAAATTGTCGTTGAGGAATCGATTACCTACATGGACCTACATCATAAAGCAGGAAGGCGCTGGATGCAGGCCGTATACTAACCGGGCCAATATAGAAATCATTGGGGAAGGCCTATGTTCAGCAGTGGACGTCCTATTGCTGAAATGATGATGATGAATAAATTACCTTTCCTTAGATAAAAAATGCACGTTTTCCAATAACTAACTGCCCTCAAACATCAAATAACTATCAATTTACATACAGGTCCTGATCATCGGAGGAGGCATCGCCAACTTTACAAACGTGGCCGACACTTTCCGTGGCATCATTACCGCCATCGAGACCTACAAGGACGCGTTGGTGCAGTACAACGTCACCATCTTTGTGAGGAGGGGCGGGCCCAACTACCAGGAGGGACTGAGGTGAGAATGACGGCTGATTTTATGGCAATATGGACTGGATAGGACTGTTAGTCCTGTCGAGCCTTAGAAAAATAGTAAGATACGGTACGTTATTACATTAAAATTAACGAAACTATGCCCAGCTGCACTTAATAGGTCGAATCGGTGAGTGAGACAGAGCGAAGAGCTCCAAACTTAGTGTAAGCGAGTACTATTTGTTCTCGCTGACGCCAAGTTTGGAGGCTACTTACAGCTGGGAGAGAATGACTTATGGCATTAGGCTCGCCTTTTTATACGGAACATTCAAATAAATAAATACATTAGGCGCCTACTTGCGAGACTTGAGCTAATACAATGCTTATGTTACGAGTGGGGCTTCACCACAATTATTCAGTGGTGGCGGGGTTAAAACCCGCGTTCCTTGGTTCTCGATTCGGCCAGACCCACACTGACTTGGAATCATTAATAGCTTATTGGTGTCAACTACCAAATACTTGGAATTATTGCTTATTGGTGTCAACTACTCATTCGGTATTCGAGGCGACATAGCCCAATGGTGTCGTACTGCCGATTACAATCCGACGAAACGATTTCACAAACGAACGAAAAGACTTTACCAACGTGGCCGACACATTCCGCGGCATTATCACGGCCAAACTACCAGGAGGGACTGAGGTGAGGCAGACAATGATTTCTTTATTATAACAATCTAAGGTACCTACCGTTGGGAAGACGGAAGTCGCGAAGCACCTACGCGAGCTCCACATCGAGATTCTTATTGTTAAAGGCTAAGGGGTCGTTCCCACGGCAATCCAGTAATGCAGGATCCCGCAAAAGCGGACTGTCGGATGTGTGATTGAAAATCGAATCAGAAATTTGAACGGATCGGTTTTTTGTGGTATCACTTCAAACACTGCTATACGGGATACCAATACTTACGCCCGTATTCACAATGAGGTCTCACAGTGCGAGTGGACGTACAGGATGACACACGAACCAATCACAAAGCTCTTCAACGCTGTGCGTGCTATTTGCTGCGTCACTTAAGCAAGTATCGTTTTTTAATATGGGCGTTAGAATTATTGGCTATTGGTGACACCAATAGATTGACGGTGACAATAGCCCAACGGTGTTGGTGTCATACTATCGATTAGCGATGCTCATGATGATGATGAGAGATGATCATCGGAGGAGGCATCGCCAACTTTACAAACGTAACAGGAGGGACTGAGGTGAGAATAGGAGCATATCTTTAGGACTTTCTGAAGCGGCTTGCAGACCAAAAGCTAAGCTATAGGTGCCTGAGGTACCTATGGGAGCGGCACGGGAGGTTTTTGGGACGTCAAACGTCGGCGAAACTTATTTGATGCTTCAGGTTTGTAAGCTCTGTGACAGAGACGAGTGTGAAGGGTACAGAGAATTCATTTAAAAGACCTAAGGGCCTAGTGTGAGTGAGCGCGTAAAAAAATGACATTAAATGTATGACGGATTGTACAGCGCCCTTAGCGGAAACGTTCATAAACTAAATTTTTAATACATTTTTTTTTATCTTTGGACAATTTCACACAGCGCCAGCTAGCCCCAAAGTAAGCAACTTAATGCCTGTGTTATATACTACTTATATACTTTTTTTTTAAATACATAAATATTATACATAGTCAATTCAATTCAATTCAATTTATTCCAAAAACAAAATACATTGTATAGGAAAATTAGACATTCACACCCAGACCCGTCACAGAAATTAAAATTCATCATTTCAATTTCTGCCCGGCCGGGAATCGAACCCGGGACCTCTCGGCATAGTAGTCCGTTCTGAACCACTACACCAAACGGCCGACAGAATTTTGAAACGCGCTCACTAGTGAGGACGTTTGATGACCTCGAAAATCCAAGTTTGAGGATACTGATACAGTTAAATCTCTGATTGGACCCCATTTAAATGTTAATGTATGTTAAATTCAATATATTATTTGTATTGTATTTGTATCCTATATTGTTAAACTAAGTAATGAAAGATTTTTTTAGTAACATTATATGTTCTTTCCCACAGACAAATGCGTGAAGTAGGCCACCGCCTGCGCATCCCTCTATACGTGTTCGGACCAGAAGCCAACATGACCGCCATCGTAGGCTTGGCGCTTGGCCACACCCCCATTCCTAAGGAGCACCAGCTGGACTACGCCCCTAAACAGCTGCCCAAGCCGCAAACACCCGTAAGTCAATGATATAAGGTCGCTTTTAGCTTAAACTTGGGGTTTACATTTGGCTACACCCCCATTCCCAAGGAACACCAGCTGGACTACGTCCCTAAACAGCTGCCCAAGCCGTACGTACGTAGACACCCGTAAGTNTGTGAGGAGGGGCGGGCCCAACTACCAGGAGGGACTGAGGTGAGATTGACGGCTGATTTTATGGCAATATGGACTGGATAGGACTGTTAGTCCTGTCGAGCCTTAGAAAAATAGTAAGATACGGTACGCGTTTACATTACAATTAACGAAACTATGCCCAGCTGCACTTAATAGGTCGATTCGGTGAGTGAGACAGAGCGAAGAGCTCCAAACTTAGCACTTAATAGGTCGATTCGGTGAGTAAGACAGTGCGAAGAGCTCTAATGCGAGAACTATTTGTTCTCACTTACACCAAGTTTGGAGGCTACTTTAGGCGCCTACTTGCGAGACCCGAGCTAATACAATGCTTATGTTACGAGTGGGGCTTCACCACAATTATTCCGTGGTGGCGAGGTTCAAACCCGCGTTCCTTGGTTCTCGATTCGGCCAGAGCCACACTGACTTGGAATTATTAATAGCTTATTGGTGTCAACTACCCTATTCGAGGCGACATAGCCCAATGGTGTCGTACTGCCGATTACTATCCGACGAAACGATTTCACAAAGGAACGAAAATACTTTACCAACGTGGCCGACACTTTCCGCGGCATCATCACCGCCATCGAGACCTACAAGGACGCGTTGGTGCAGTACAACGTCACCATCTTCGTGCGGAGGGGCGGGCCCAACTACCAGGAGGGACTGAGGTGAGACTGGCAGACATTTATCAAGAGCGAGGTACCGTGACACCCAAAGTGGCCAAAAAGTTGACAACACAACCTTATTCCAATTGTAACAAAGGTACCTTGCGAACTTTTTGGCTACATCACGTGACACTGACTGTACCTACGTGTAGTAAGTACGTGTTCGCCTCAAACGCTGCGTGACCTATTCGCTGGGTGCGAAGTACTAGGTGGGGGTAACATAATCTATCGCAGCGCTCATGGTGGTCAAAAGTAGAAATAATGTAAGCTCTGTCATCAGATATATCTGTCAATGGCAAAGCGATTCTACATAATACATTTTAATATCATTAATTAATCACATGAAAAGGGTCCAACTGGGAACTGAAATAAAAGAGTGGACTGTATTTCGATAGGGCTGGTTTAATAGCCGTTTACAATTTGGAAATAACTAGACTAATACAACGTGGTAGTACAAAAATGAGTCACAGTAGGTGNCCCCTAAACAGCTGCCCAAGCCGTACGTACGTAGACACCCGTAAGTCAATGAGATAAGGTCGCTTTTAGCTTGAACGTGGGGTTTACATTCGGCCACACCCCCATACCTAAGGAGCACCAACTCGACTACGCTCCGAAACAGTTGCCCAAGCCGCAGACACCCGTAAGTCAATGATATAAGGTCGCTTTTAGGTTGAATATAAGTCCCAAGAACAACCAGTTCGAAGCAGCTACCCAAGACTTCCGTAAGACCTCACAATAAGGTCGCTTTTACCGTGAATATGATCCCCAACGAGCACCAACTTGACTACGCTCCTAAACAGCTGCCCAAGCCGCAGACACCCGTAAGTCAATGATATAAGGTCGCTTTTAGGTTGAATATAAGTCCCAAGAACCATCAGTTCGAAGCAGCTACCCAAGACTTCCGTAAGACCTCACAATAAGGTCGCTTTTAGCGTGAATATGATTCTCAAGGAACACGAGCTGGACTACGCTCCTAAACAGCTGCAGCTAAACAGGTGCCGCAAACACCCGTAAGTCAATAAAAAAAGGTCGCTTTTAGCGTGAACATGACGTCAAGTGTGGCTTGCACTAGGCCACGCCCCCAAGCAGCTGCCCAAGCCGCGCAGACGCCCGTAAGTCAATGAGATAAGGTCGCTTTTAGCGTGAACATGATTCCCAAGAACCACCAGTTCGAAGCAGCTACCCAAGACTTCCGTAAGACCTCACAATAAGGTCGCTTTTAGCGTGAATATGATTCTCAAGGAACACGAGCTGGACTACGCCCCTAAACAGCTGCCCAAGCCGCAGACACCCGTAAGTCAATGATATAAGGTCGCTTTTAGCTTAAACTTGGGGTTTACATTCGGCCACACCCCCATTCCTAAGGAACACCAGCTCGACTACGCTCCGAAACAGCTGCCCAAGCCACAGACAATAACTTAAGGTCGCTTTTAGTTTGAACGTTGGGTTTACATTTGGCAACACCCCCATTCCCAAGGAACACCAGCTGGACTACGCCCCTAAACAGCTGCCCAAGCCGTACGTACGTAGACACCCGTAAGTCAATGAGATAAGGTCGCTTTTAGCTTGAACGTGGGGTTTACATTCGGCCACACCCCCATACCTAAGGAGCACCAACTCGACTACGCTCCGAAACAGTTGCCCAAGCCGCAGACACCCGTAAGTCAATGATATAAGGTCGCTTTTAGGTTGAATATAAGTCCCAAGAACAACCAGTTCGAAGCAGCTACCCAAGACTTCCGTAAGACCTCACAATAAGGTCGCTTTTAGCGTGAATATGATTCTCAAGGAACACGAGCTGGACTACGCCCCTAAACAGCTGCCCAAGCCGCAGACACCCGTAAGTCAATGATATAAGGTCGCTTTTAGCTTAAACTTGGGGTTTACATTCGGCCACACCCCCATTCCTAAGGAACACCAGCTCGACTACGCTCCGAAACAGCTGCCCAAGCCACAGACAATAACTTAAGGTCGCTTTTAGTTTGAACGTTGGGTTTACATTTGGCAACACCCCCATTCCCAAGGAACACCAGCTGGACTACGCCCCTAAACAGCTGCCCAAGCCGTACGTACGTAGACACCCGTAAGTCAATGAGATAAGGTCGCTTTTAGCGTGAACGGGGGGCATCTTGGGACTGGCACTTGGCCACGCCCCCAATTCGCAGACGGCCGTAAGGCAATGATATAAGTTCGCTTTTAGCGTGAACATGATTCTCAAGAACCACCAGTTTGAAGCAGCTACCAAAGACACCCGTAAGTCCTCATAATAAGGTCGCTTTTAGCGTGAATATGATTTCCAAAGAGCATCAGCTTGACTACGCTCCTAAACAGCTGCCCAAGCCGCAGACGCCCGTAAGTCAATGAAATAAGATCGCTTTTAGCGTGAACATGACGCCATCTTGTTACTGCCGCTTGGCCACGCCCCCAATCAGCTGCCCAAGGACTTAAGCCGTAAGTCCTCACAGTAAGGGCGTTTTTAGAGTAATGCAGATATATTCGCGCTGATTGAAATAAACGTTCATACAGTTGTAAGTTGCTCAGAGAGATATTGATTCCTGTAAGTCATCATCAACCATCATCATCGTCTAAAAGGTGACCATTTCATCAATATCCTGCCTGAACCGCAGTAAGTGATCACCAGTGTATGATTACACATCTTCCTCAAGGAGACCACTTGATGAGATGATGATGATGAGTGTCATTACCAGTGTCATCACTCTTATTACCATCCCCAATCATCAAAGAATATGTCATTTTTAATGCTTAACTACTTGCANTGTAAGCTCTGTCATCAGATATATCTGTCAATGGCAAAGCGATTCTACATAATACATTTTAATATCATTAATTAATCACATGAAAAGGGTCCAACTGGGAACTGAAATAAAAGAGTGGACTGTATTTCGATAGGGCTGGTTTAATAGCCGTTTACAATTTGGAAATAACTAGACTAATACAACGTGGTAGTACAAAAATGAGTCACAGTAGGTGTTGTGCACAGATGTTTGCCTTATAATGAGAGCGTGAATTATTGAACTCTGCCCTTGTTTTGTTCTTAATTCTTCTACATCTCGGACTTGTCCAGCCAATACCAACTACTTTCCTTTAAATACGGTTTGATATTGTAAAACTCACAAACCCGGTCTTCAAAACAATACTCATTTCGATCTGAAAACGATATTTAATTTATTACTAGCGATATAGGTACATTTAAATATATTTACTGTTAAATATAATGAAACCGTTAAAGTAGCTTTTTCTTTTTGTTTTACTGTAAAACTACAACTATAAATGAAGTAAACAAACCCTGACACAATCAAAATTAAACACACTTTTTGGACTTACCTCATTTGATTTGAATGACCAAAATGATTTCAAAACCTTTTTTCCACCCAAATCGTGGTATCACAACAATTTATTAATCGAAAATATTTGTTATTTCTTCATTTCGATATTTTTTCACAAATAACGACCTAAATGTCAATGTGACAGAGCCCACAAAGTTGTGGACGCTAGTTGGCGCTGTAATCGTGCACAGAGCCAATAAAAAGATTCAAATAATGGTGATGATGTAAACAATGTAAAGTAATAAAGATGAATGACAAAGCCCGATCTGTGAGCACGTAGAATTTTGTCCAATGACCCCAAGCTGCCCATCCTTATCGCTCGCGCGTAATTACATATATTGCTGTCGCGACTGTGCGACGGGCGCCCGCAGTGAGTGTGCGAGCGCGACAGCAACATAATTACGCGCGAGCGAAAAGGATGGGTAGCTTGGGGTCATTGGACAAAATTCTACGTGCTCGCGGACCATACTATAATATGCGATTATTTTTTCTTTCATTTTTTTTGTAAACCCCTGCATAGAAGGCTTCCACTGTAGATGTTACTGAGTGACCTTTTTGGCAACTTTTTTTAAAATTAATTATGTGTATGTCTTGTTGCCAAATAAAAATATTTTCTTTCTCTGTATGCTTGTGCTACGCACTTGTTACCTACTGGTTCACCACAATAGTCCAGCAGCAACAGGTTTCGGCGAACTATCGCATCTGTAAGATCGGAATCGACAGTTCGAGACCTACATCTTTGGGCTATTGTTGTCTTTTAGTTAATTTGAAATATGTAAGTTGTTGACACTAGTCAATTACATATTTGTTATGAGCTGTTGAAAAGGCGACTTTATCATATTGTATCGTCAAGATTTTATTACAGCATAATTGAAAATAACGTTGTTATTCGCAAACAACGAAATTAAGTGTCAATGTCATTCGGTGTTATTTGTTCCAAAGATACAGTATAGTTCCAATATAATGAACTGTCATATCCATGACATTGACAGCGGAGCGCCACCATCAATACCGGATCGCTGGTTCCGATTTTTGTCATGTTGGAAACCATATAGTTGAACGATGGTAGCGCCCCCCTGTCATTGAGTTTGGTGGGACAGTTCAGCGTGGGTCATCTATACCCGTATATTAAAGTATGGTTGTTGCACTTCACGAAGGCGAGTGAGCTTTACATGTGTGGTGGCTCGCTACTGTTCGTTTTTCAAAAGTTTTGATAGACATTACACTATCGTTGTGCATGTACACGAACACACAAGTAAAGCTCACTCGCCTTCGTGAGTTGCAAGAACTATACTCAATGAAAAAAGTTGATAACATTGTATTTTCTTTTCCACAGACAAATGCGTGAAGTAGGCCACCGCCTGCGCATTCCCTTATACGTGTTCGGACCGGAAGCCAACATGACCGCCATCGTAGGCTTGGCGCTTGGCCACACCCCCATTCCCAAGGAGCACCAGCTCGACTACGCCCCTAAACAGCTGCCCAAGCCGCAGACACCCGTAAGTCAATGATATAAGGTCGCTTTTAGCTTAAACTTGGGGTTTACATTTGGCTACACCCCCATTCCCAAGGAACACCAGCTGGACTACGCCCCTAAACAGCTGCCCAAGCCGTACGTACGTAGACACCCGTAAGTCAATGATATAAGGTCGCTTTTAGCGTGAACGGGGGGCATCTTGGGACTGGCACTTGGCCACGCCCCCAATTCGCAGACGGCCGTAAGGCAATGATATAAGTTCGCTTTTAGCGTGAACATGATTCTCAAGAACCACCAGTTCGAAGCAGCTGCCCAAGACACCCGTAAGTCCTCATAATAAGGTCGCTTTTAGCGTGAATATGATTTCCAAAGAGCATCAGCTTGACTGCGCTCCTAAACAGCTGCCCAAGCCGCAGACACCCGTAAGTCAATGATATAAGGTCGCTTTTAGCGTGAACATGACGTCATCGTAGGATTGGTGCTTGGCCACGCCCCCAAGCATCTACCTAAGCCGCAGACGCCCGTAAGTCCTCACAATAAGGGCGTTTTTAGAGTAATGCGGATTTGTTCACACAAATTGAAATAAACGTTCATACAGTTGCTCAGAGAGTTAATCCTGTAAGTCATCATCATCTATCATCATCATGTAAGTTCTAAAAGGAAACAATTTTATCAAACTGCTGCCTAAACCGCAGACAGTAAGTGATCACCAGTGTATGATTACACATCTTGATGAGATGAGTCTTTATGAGTGTCATCACTATCATCATTATATCCACCATCAAGAAATACGTAATTTTTAACGATAAACTACTTGCACTAAAAAAACAATTATTCGAGATTTTATCTCAAGATGAAAACAAATGTAGACCAGAAATGCAACATTTTATTCAAAAAACTAATTATTACACCATCTTCCACAGCCAAAACCCAAGATTGACATCCCGGAACTAACGCACAAGCTCCTCGACCTGGTGTGTTCGACCGCCCCCACCAGAACCGACCTTGGGGTCGGAATCCCACCGCCAAACCACTGTTCAGCGACCGGACCAAAGCCATCATCTGGGGCATGCAGAACCGCGCGATACAGGTTAGTTTTGTTTCTTTACATAAGCCAAGTTTACGCCTAGAAAGCCAGACGGATTAGCAAGCTGAAATGGCAGCATATGCCAATATGGCACGCAGAACTGACGACCGATGGCGCAGCAAGATTCTGAAATGGAGGTCACGTACCAATTAGGTGGACCGACGACCTCATAAAGGAAGCAGGAAAGTGCTGGACGCAGGCTGCTGCCAACCGGTCAATCTGGAAATCATTGGGGGAGGCCTATGTTCAGCAGTGGACATCATGTGGCTAAAATGATGATGATGAATCCTAGATTGGGCTATGCCCAGTGCATAGTCCTTGTGATCTCGACCTGGTGTGTTCGACCGCCCCCACCAGAACCGACCTTGGGGTCGGAATCCCCACCGCCAAACCACTGTTCAGCGACCGGACCAAAGCCATCATCTGGGGCATGCAGAACCGCGCGATACAGGTTAGTCTTGTTCCTTTATGGCGACATATACGGATTTAACCAACAGATGGCATTGACAACTAAGTTTCTATGGCTGACACCGCCGCGCCTACATTCCTGAATCGCGGTGTCGAAATGTGTTGGTAAGCGCATAACTTAACAACGCCTGGACCAATTTTACCAATTCCTTTTTTTAATGTTCGTTGAAGTCCAAAGATGGTTTTTACGGCGAGAAAAATTCGAATAATTTCCGCAAAAACCCTAAAACAGCCTTTTTCTTTTTTCCCATACAAACGTTTTCTAACTGTAATGTACCTAGTCAATTTGAACTTTATTGCTTTTCAGAAAAGTTCATATTTAAGTAGGAACAAAAAACTGCCACATTCCAAATATTTTTGACAGAACGAAGTCTGTTGGTTCCGCTACTTATTCGTTCGATTCCCGCCTTAGGCAGTTCGATTTTTTTAAGTTGTTTATTTATAAATTAGTTTGAGAAGCGACTCTAACCGCTAAGAAAATTATATATTGCTACTTGTTTTTGCATGTATTAACCTGATTACACCTTTACACATTTGTTTTCTTTATACAGGGCATGCTGGACTTCGACTACATATGCCGTCGCGCGGAGCCGTCCGTGGTGGCCATAGTCTACCCGTTCACAGCTGACCACAAACAAAAATACTACTTTGGGAACAAGGAGGTGTTTATACCGGGTGAGTGTTGTCTATGGTTTTTTGTTTGTGAAAAGTTTTCCAATTGGTTATGCCTTAGAGGTGTTTCCTAAACCCTTCTTTATACTAATACTACCTGTGCCCGCGGCTTCGTACGCGTGAAAACCCGTTTTCGAAACACTTTTCATTATTGCTCTGCTCCTATTGATTGTAGCGTGATGTTGTACAGGTGTTTGTTTACTTGAACGCGCTAATCTCCGGAACTACTGGTCCGATTTGAAAAATTCTTTCAGTGTTAGATGGCCCATTTATCGAGGAAGGCTATAGGCTATACAACATCACGCTACGATTAATAGGAGCAGAGCAACAATGAAAAATGTTGCGAAAACGGGTTTTCACGCGTACGAAGTCGCGGGCACAGCTAATAGATCTATACCTTCCCTTGAATATACCCTTGTGTTCTTTAAAGATTGTGAATAAATTTGGCATATTTTCATCCAAACAGTATTCTCTGACATGGACGTGGCGATGAGGAAGCATCAAGAAGCATCAGTACTGGTCAACTTCGCTTCGCTTCGGTCTGCCTACGACAGCACTATGCAGGTAAGTTGTATTATAATCATCAGGTTGCTAAAATTTAGCTAAAAAGTTGCTACTCAAACTAAATTATAAATATCTTGAAAAAGTAGAACCTAAGGCGGTAATCGAACCCACGACCTTTCGCTTGCTCTTCCATCTGAGCTACTTAGACACTGGATGACCCAGTCGAAAGAAGAGTGGTCATCTGTGACCTCGACCTGACAGAAACGAGACATAACTCAGTTTTTTTGTTAGTTATTAAATATTTAAATTATATATTTTTTATATTGGAAACCTATGGCTAACACCAAAATATCGCCGTATGTTTTTGTTCAGGCGTTACACAAAAACTAATACAAAACGCCTATTTATCTACAAAATTTTGTGTATGGGGCGTGACCTCTATTCAAGTTTAATACGCTGTTGCGGCCGCGTTTTGTGTTGCAGACTGAGACCAGATTATACAATGTAATATAATATTTATTTTCTCAATAACACTATTTTTTGTACACCACAGGCNCGACCGGACCAAAGCCATCATCTGGGGCATGCAGAACCGCGCGATACAGGTTAGTCTTGTTCCTTTGAGGCGACATATACGGATTTAACTAACAGATGGCGCTGACACTAAGTTCCTATGGCTGACACCGCCGCGCCTACATTCCTGAATCGCGGTGTCGAAATGTGTTGGGAAGAGCGCATAACTCAACAACGCCTGGACCAATTTTACCAATTCCTTTTTTTAATGTTCGTTGAAGTCCAAGGATGGTTTTTACGGCGAGAAAAATTCGAATAATTTCCGAAAAAAATCCTAAAACAGCCCTTTTCTTTTCCCATAGAAATGTTATCTAACTGAAATGTAGTGAATTTGAACTTTATTGCTATTCAGAAAAGTTCATATTAAATAAGTAGGAACAAAAAACTGCCACATTCCAAATATTTTTGACAGAACGAAGTCTGTTGGTTCCGCTACTTATTCGTTCGATTCCCGCGTTAGGCAGTTCGATTTTTTTAAGTGGTTTATTTATAAATTAGTTTGAGAAGCGACTCTAATCGCTAAGAAAATGATATTATATTGCTACTTGTTTTTTGCATGTATTAACCTGACTACACCTTTAAACATTTGTTTTCTTACCCAGGGCATGCTAGACTTCGACTACATATGCCGTCGCGCGGAGCCGTCCGTGGTGGCCATAGTCTACCCGTTCACAGCTGACCACAAACAGAAGTACTACTTCGGGAACAAGGAGGTGTTTATACCGGGTGAGTGTTGTTGTCTATGGATTTTTGTTTGTGAAGAGTTTTCCAATTGGTTATGCCTAACCAGTGTTTCTTAACCTGTGGGCCGTTTTGCCTTTTACAACCATAAATAAATGCTATCAAAAGTATCGTAATCGAAATTCTTGCTCCTTTTATGTTAAGGGGGTGCTTAAAATTGTGCTTGATTTCCTAAGGGGTCCGTGGACGTAAGAATAAGGCCAGTTTTCACCATCAATCCCTAATTTTTAAGTGACCTCTATGGTAACACTTAACAGGAATTTTGTTTTCGTAGGGGTTACTTAACCATTAGGGATTAGTGATGAAAACGGGCATAAGAAACGCTAATCTAGACAAAAAATACCTTAGGAAAAGTATCACCGTTTCAGGGATATGTCACTTTTTTCATATTATCATCGTATTAGCACATTCGGCACTATTTTGCAATACAACTAATAGATCTATGCCTTCCCTTGAATATACCATTGGTTCTTTAAAGATTTTAAATAATTTTGCTATATTTTCATCCAAACAGTATTCTCTGACATGGACGTGGCTATGAGGAAGCACCAAGAAGCATCAGTACTGGTCAACTTCGCTTCGCTTCGGTCTGCCTACGACAGCACTATGCAGGTACGTTGAAGTAACATCATCTGGGGGCGTAGTATGAGTTAACGTCAAACGCATTCGATATCGACTGTGTAAAAAAGTGACATTAAATTGGTGACGGATTGTACAGCGCCCCTAGCGGAAACATTCAAGAACTAAAATCTACTATATAAAAATAAGTCGGGTTTTCCTCCCTGATGCTATAACTCCAGAACGCACGAACCGATTTCCACGGTTTTGCATTCGTTGGAAAGGTCTCGGGCTCCGTGAGGTTTATAGCAAAGAAAATTCAGGAAAAATTTCAACAGAAAAGCGGGAAGGGGGTAAAACGGGATCCACGTGTACGAAGTCGCGGGCGGCCGCTAGTCTTCATATATTTTTTAATGCAGTCGATATCGAATGCATTTGACGTAAACTCACACTACGCCCCAAGGTGATTTAGTCTCCATTGTTGAAACACGACCCACTCTAATTTACCAGAGGCAAATCGACAAATGAAAAGATATTCAATTTCCACACTCAGGTGGATTTATTTTGTTTTGTTGTTTGTAATTATTTTCTCTATCGATTGACATGGGTATTATATAACATACATAGATGTACCAGTATTCCTTGACTCCTTACAAAAGAAGTTAAGTTCGAACAAACGCTGACCGTAACAGCAAAGTCGAAATTTTAAAAATTTAACTTTTCAACTGATTCACTGTCCAAGTAGCTCAGATGGAAGAGTCGCCCGGCAAGCGAAAGGTCGTGGGTTCGATTCCCGCCTTAGGCAGTTCGACTTTTTCAAGTTAATTATAATTAAGTTCGATAATTATAAAACACACAGGCTACACCGCAGACTGAGGCCTGTACAATGTAATATAATATTTATTTTCTCAATAACACTGTTTTTGTATCTCACAGGCCATGCAACACCCACAAATCAACACGGTGGTGATCATCGCAGAAGGCATCCCTGAGAACATGACCAGAAAGATCATCAAGGTCGCCGACGCGAGAGGGGTGAGTCCTTTAAAGCCTTCTTTTAGTCATAAGGACGTAGCACACTTATCAACCCGCAAAGGGATCGTAACCGTATCAAATCGGGGCGGTCAGTATTCTTTGCATGAAACTATTTTTTTTAAGGAACGCGCGCTGGTAGCTTCAAGAGCTTTTCCAGTCTTATTTCTTTCCAAAATGGACCAAGAATTTTGCTTACGATAGATTCTCTATCCTTTATTATAAGCTAGTTTCCTAAAAAAAGACTAGTCCGTGAATTATATTATCAAATAATATTAGACACGTATATTTTTATTTGTCAATCATACAAGTAATTACGATGCGGTGAAGTTCCACGTGACGTCACAAAGCACGTCCTGACGTCACGGGCCTCTTCTTTTGAACTTTACGCGCTTATCTATTTCAATTTTCATTAGTTTGAAAAAGTGAAAAAAAAGGTGTCGAGTATTTTAAAATCTTCCTTTTTTTTACGCAGGAACCATCCCTATTCTATGTGTATTTATTAACGTTTCTCTCTCCAGGTAAACATCATAGGCCCCGCCACAGTAGGTGGTATCAAACCTGGCTGCTTCAAGATCGGAAACACCGCAGGAATGATTGATAACATTGTTGACAGCAAGCTGTATCGGGCTGGCAGGTTAGTTCATCATCATCATCATCATTTCAGCAACAGGACGTCCACTGCTGAACATAGGTCGCCCCCAATGGTAAACTAAAGGTAAACTGGATGAGAATGCCTTATGGCATTAAGTTCGCCTAATGTTAATATTTTTGGCATTGAAGTATAAATAAATAAATAAATGATTTCCAAATAGGCCCGTTTGTAGTGGCCTGCATCCAGCGCCTTCTTGCTACATTTATGAGGTCGTCAGTTTACCTTATAGATGGCGACCATGTAAAATGTTGATTATTTTAGACGACAAATGTATGGACTTATCGTGAAAGATCGATAAAATTCCGCGATAAAATTTTGTCGTGGCGCGCATCTTATGCCTACATACAGGTCATTTAGTAACTGGAAGGCGCAGTGTAAAATATCCAAGAATATTATTTATTTTATTGTTTAAATTCGTAGCGTAAATAGCGTTGTATAAAATGAAAGAGAGAAAGAAAAAATGTTTCAAAAATTACTCATGGCTGCCTGTCACGAGTCTTTGCGTCGAGTATAGTATGCGCATTTTGTCTGCCTATTCAGTCCTATGATCTGCTTAAAGTACTTCTCATCATATGTTTTTATGAGAGCTTTGGAATTAAAGCCTTAGAAGAGGAGAAATAAAGTTTATATTTTACTTCCAGCGTGGCCTACGTGTCCCGTTCAGGAGGCATGAGTAACGAACTCAACAACATCCTGTCCAAACACGCCGACGGTGTGTGTGAGGGCGTGGCCATCGGCGGAGACAGATACCCGGGCTCCACGTTCATTGATCATTTGCTCAGGTAAGATATTATTTATAGCTCGTCCAACTAGAGTTGAGGCCACTAACACCAACAAAGATTGTATACGCTATCTTCGCGAGTCTCGGTGGGGCAGATACCCGAGCTCCACGTTCATTGACCACTTGCTCAGGTAAGTTTTATTACAAACTCAATTTTTATGGACCTTAAGACAAAAGAATAAAGTGCAAAATGTGGTGGGAACTATTCCCACTACAACATATTCAAAATATGGTGGGAAATATATTCCCACTGCAATGAACATAATTCATTGATCACTGCTCAAGTAAGAGAGAGATTATTCATTTATAGCTCGACCAACGAGAGTTGAGGCCATCAACACCAACAAAGTCGGACTACTTGTCAGTCTTCAGTTGTCAGCTTTCTGTCTCGCTTGCAGAAATATAACAAGAGCGAGGTAGCTATAGGTCTCCCATACCTCAGGCACTGACTAAGTTAAACGCTATGTCTATAGTGCATTCGATAGTTGAATGTGTACTTTTCGTGTTCTGTTTTCAAAAATTCAAATACTACATCAGTGTGAGTCTCTGAGCCTCAAGTTTCTTTGAGCGAGCCATAACCATGAGCAGCGAACAAAAGTCTTAAACATAAGCTTGAGTAAGGAACTCAATAACATCCTGTCCAAACACGCCGACGGTGTCTGTGAGGGCGTGGCCATCGGCGGAGACAGATACCCGGGCTCCACGTTCATTGACCACCTGCTCAGGTAAGCCTTAAGAAACGGAACGAAGTTCAAAATATGGTGGGAACTATATTCCCACTACAACATATTCAAAACATGGTGGGAAATATATTCCCACTGCAATGAACATACTTCATTGATTAGGTGATCAATGAAGTATGTCATGTAAGACAGTCCTAAATATGGTGGGAAATATATTCCCACTGCAACAAACATAATTCATTGATCGTCTGCTCAGGTAAGAGAGTACTTGTATCCACAACAAGGAAGTAAGGAACAGAAAAATCTGCTCCAACTGGGAATCGAACCTGGGACCTCTGGGTCTAAAGATATTGTTATCACTGGTCTACAAAGGCGGTTTTATTCGGAATTTGTTTCATAAGCGTAATGTTTCTTCGCTCCTTATCTAAATTTTCGATCCGATTTGATTTCGAAATTAAAGCTGTCACATTTATAGCCTCGTGTAACCAGAAGGTGATTTTTAGAATGTTTTACTAATTTGACAATGTTTCGCAGATTCGAAGCGGACCCGAACGTAAAAATGCTGGTTCTCTTGGGCGAAGTGGGAGGAGTCGAGGAATACCACGTGTGCAAGGCCATCCGCGACGGACTCATCAAGAAGCCCATGGTCGCCTGGTGCATCGGAACCTGCTCAGGTGAGCGATGATGACTCAATAGGCTAGATGACAAAATTTCAATTATTTGTCCGTCAGACAGATAATTGGAAAATATTAGACTCATATTTTCTATTTTCTTTCATAATTAAAATTAAATAATAACAGTGCTACATCGTGTTGAAATGGCGCGTTAAGTCACGCTTGAGTAGAATTTTTACTCAAAAGTGATGTCACGCAACATTTCAACTCAATATAATACTGTAATTATTCGATAATGAAAAAAATTTAAAAATATGTGTCCATTTTTTTTATTATCTGTTGACGGACTAAATAGAATTTAGATTTCATTACCCAGTCATCATCCCTATTATAGGTCTAGCGCTAGGCTAACCTTTTAAAGAGTCGGGCCAAATGGATTCAGTCGTTATCGTTGGGCCAAATGGATTCAGTCGTTATCGTCGGGCCAAATGGATTCAGTCGTTATCGTCGGGCCAAATGGATTCAGTCGTTATCGTCGGGCCAAATGGATTCAGTCGTTATCGTCGGGCCAAATGGATTCAGTCGTTATCGTCGGGCCAAATGGATTCAGTCGTTATCGTCGGGCCACTTACATTTCCTATTTCAGTTACTCTCAGGACAAGCGCAATAAAAACTCAATTATTAAGATCAAACCATAATTAAAATTCTGCAAAAATTCGGCCTGGGGTTGAGCAGCCTCATCTTCATAGAAACGCACCGAGCGCGGTTTGTATGTGAGCGCGCCAACACGTATGCGGCGCGCACGCACACACTGACAAAATTTAGCGGGGATTAGCGGGGAGCCAGTCGTGGTTGCGCCGAATTTTGTCAGTGTGTGCGTGCGCGCCGCNAGCGTTTTAGGCTGGTTTTAGTGTCACGCGGACTGTCAGTGCGGATCGCTCCGCACAGCCGATCTGATGAACTGCTAGGGCGTTAATGCTAATGCTCCCTAGAAGTTCATACAGATTGGCCGTGCGGAGCGGGTCCGCACCGGACGGTCCGCGTGACACTAAAACCAGTCATAGGTTTTACCGCGGGTAACACCGCGAGGTACTACTAGTAACTAACTGTATATTTTATTTCCAGTGTGGCGTACGTGTCCCGTTCAGGAGGCATGAGCAACGAACTCAATAACATCCTGTCCAAACACGCCGACGGTGTGTGTGAGGGCGTGGCCATCGGCGGAGACAGATACCCGGGCTCTACGTTCATTGACCACCTGCTCAGGTAAGCCTTAAGAAACGGAACGAAGTTCAAAATATGGTGGGAACTATACAGGGTGTTAGGTAAATGGGTATATGAGCCGACACTAGCCCATGTTAACATGATCATATAAATGGTATGGTGAAGGCAGAAAATTGATATCTTCATTTTAATTATTTTAATTTTCATACAAATCGGATGTTATAAAATTTATTTTGTATGAAAATTAAAAAAAATTAAATGATGATATCAAATTTCTGACTTCACCATACCATTTATATGACCATGTTAACATGGGCTATTGTCGGCTCATATACCCATTTACCTAACACCCTGTATTACCACTGCAACATATTCAAAATATGGTGGGAACTATATTCCCACTACAACATATTCAAAATATGGCGAGAACTATATTCCCACTGCAACAAACATAATTCATTGATCACGTGCTCAGGTAAGACAGTTCAAAATATGGTGGGAAATATGTTCCCACTGCAATGAATATAATTCATTGATTACCTGATCAGGTAAGAGAGTACTTGTATCCACAACAAGGAAGTAAGGAACAGAAAAATCTGCCCCTACTGGGAATCGAACCTGGGACCTCTGGGTCTAAAGTTGTTCTTACCACTGGTCTACAAAAGCGGTTTTATTCAGAATTTTTTTCATAAGCATAATATTTCTTCGCTCCATATCTAAATTTTCGATCTGATTTGATTTCGAAATTAAAGCTGTCACATTTATAAACACGTATAACCGTAAGGTGATTTTTAGAATGTTCTACTAATTTGACAATGTTTCGCAGATTCGAAGCGGACCCGAATGTCAAAATGCTGGTTCTCTTGGGCGAAGTGGGAGGAGTCGAGGAATACCACGTGTGCAAGGCCATCCGCGACGGACTCATCAAGAAGCCCATGGTCGCCTGGTGCATAGGAACCTGCTCAGGTGAGCGATGATGACTCAATTATAGTCTAGCGGTTATCACAGTCAGTGCCTAGTATGGGAGCGGTACAGGATGAGTGACATTAGAGCCTATAAATCTAAAAGAGATCTGAAGTCTCGCTGACGATTTAAAAACATCAGGATAGGTTATGTGGGTTATGTTTCGTCGCATCACGCATCTCTTTTTCCCACAGTGTTGCTGCTAGTGACATCTCGCTCGCTCAGTCCTTTGTTGCTCTATTCATATTCAATTATTCACCTTCGCAATGTTACAGAAGATCAACAATAAAGGGTAGTACAAGATGTTCAAAATTTTACATTGCTAATTTGCTACCTCCTAGAGCATTGGTTCCCAAAATGGGGGGCGCAAAGACCTTTAAAGGGGGGCACGGGCCATCTGTAAGAAACCCGCGACCGCTGAGAGAATGCATTCCAAACTGCTCGATACGACCAATAAATAATCTTGACTGGAGGAATTTTTTGTATGGTCGAAAGGGGGCGCGTCTCAAATAAGTTTGCGAACCAATGTCCTAGAGGTATATGTGATTTTTAAACAATAAAATTCATCGATAAAATAAAAATTGAACTTTAAATTCTCTATTCCGCTAGGTATATAAGCTTTATGATTCTCTTTCTCGTCCTTCCAGACATAGGTTTTTAAAAACAAAAGCATTCACTGAATTTATAATGCCAAGGCGAAAGATGTGGAAAATTAACCCTTAACAACTCATCAAAACGCCACCGATTTTCGTCCTTATGACCACTGACTAAGCTTCATATTCCTTCCAGACATGTTCACATCGGAGGTCCAGTTCGGACACGCGGGTTCGATCGCGGGCTCGGCCCTGGAGAAGGCAGTTGCCAAGAACGCCGGGTTCAAAGCCTACGGGGTCACCGTGCCTGATTCCTTTGACAGCCTGGGAGACGCTGTCCACAAGTTAGTATAGCAGAATACTTAATTAAATGATTTATTAGTGTGTAGACCATCTTTACTGCACATAACACACACACACAGAACACAGACAAGTTTTAAAGCTCTAGTCTAGTTAATAATATGTCTGTTTAATACAGACAGCCCTCCGCCTAGGCCAGTCTCTCCCAAAATGGGCGATAACGCCCCCTTGTGGGCGCTGCAGGCTTAAAGCGGGGCGGTAAGAGACCCAGAAAAAAAATTTACGTTGTGTAGAGGCTTGGGAGGCGTCATCTACTAGGAGGACTCTTAGACACCGACTGAGCTCGACTCTTGACTACAAAAATGGGGGGCGCTAAAAATAATTTATTCTCAAAGTGGGTAGTAGACTAAATAAGTTTGGGAACCACTGGCCTAGACCCTAGCTCAAATACATATCTTACGCTATCTTATTCCCTCACATAGTGTCATACTTGATTTATTTATGTATGCGGGAAACAAATAATTTTGATAGACACAGATAAAGCAAATAAACAAATTAATGTCAAATACCTGCCATGTTATGCATAAAAAAAAATAACTTCCTAGATTGTGAAGAAAATAAATCTATATCTATGAAAGCGAAAGGTCACTGATTGACTGACTGACTCACTCACTTATCACGAAATCTCAGAAACTACAAGTGCTAGGTCTCAAATTTTGCATGGGGATTCCGTTTNGGGGATTAGCGGGGAGCCAGTCGTGGTTGCGCCGAATTTTGTCAGTGTGTGCGTGCGCGCCGCATACGTGTTGGCGCGCTCACATACAAATCGCGCTCGGTGCGTTTCTATGAAGATGACCTACTCATTTGTATTTACTCTGGCATAACTGAGTCAATGCCTGAGGTATGGGAGCGGTACGGGAGGGGTGACAATGAGAGAACTTACAAATCAAAAAGAGATCTACTGACCGTCTCAAAATGACCCTCCCGTGCCGCTACCATACCACAAGCACTGACACATTTAGGCGCTCGTTCGTTCGTTTAAGCATCATCATCACATATCAATATCATCTCATCTACAGGACGTCCACTGCTGAACATAGGCCTCCTCCAATGATTTCCACATCGCCCGGTTGGTAGCGGCCTGCGTCCAGCACCTTCCTGTTACCTTTATGAAGTCTCTAACAGAAATGAGGAGATCCGTAAACGAACTATGGTGGCTGACATAGCAAGCTGAAGTAGCAATGGACAGGGCACATATCTACGCCCTTGACTGCTAGTATTCTTTCCAGACATGTTTCAAATTAACCTTTAACAACACATCAAAACGCCATCAATTCTCCACCTTATGACCACTAACTAAGTTTCATATTCCTTCCAGACATGTTCACATCGGAGGTCCAGTTTGGGCACGCGGGTTCGATCGCGGGCTCGGCCCTGGAGAAGGCAGTCGCCAAGAACGCCGGGTTCAAAGCCTACGGGGTCACCGTGCCTGATTCCTTTGACAGCCTGGGAGATGCGGTTCACAAGTTAGTATAGCAGAATACTTAATTAAATGATTTATTAGTGTGTAGACCATCTTTACTGCACATAACACACACACACAGAACACAGACAAGTTTTAAAGCTCTAGTCTAGTTAATAATATGTCTGTTTAATACAGACAGCCCTCCGCCTAGGCCAGTCTCTCCCAAAATGGGCGATAACGCCCCCTTGTGGGCGCTGCAGGCTTAAAGCGGGGCGGTAAGAGACCCAGAAAAAAAATTTACGTTGTGTAGAGGCTTGGGAGGCGTCATCTACTAGGAGGACTCTTAGACATCGACTGAGCTCGACTCTTGACTACAAAAATGGGGGGCGCAAAAAAATGATTTATTCTCAAAGTGGGCAGTAGCTCAATAAGTTTGGGAACCACTGGCCTAGGCCCTAGCATAAATACATATCTTACGCTATCTTATTCCCTCACATAGTGTCATACTTGATTTATTTATGTATACGGGACACAAATAATTTTGATAGACACAGTCAAATAAATCCACTAACAATAATACAGTAATCAGCAACTAAACAAAATGTCAAATACCTGCCTTGTTATTTGTTAGGCATAAAAAAAATAACTTCCTAGATTGTGAAGAAAATAAATCTATATCTATGAAAGCGAAAGGTCACTTTTTGCATGGGGGTTCCGTTTAGAACGTAGGTGCTCACTTAGAACGGATTTTACGAAACTCCACCCCTAAGGGGGTAAAACTGGATCCACGCATACAAAGTCGCAGGCGGGCGCTAATTATAAAATTATTTATTTATTCACTACTCGTCCCAAATATAGCCTTCCCTAACATTCGATCCCCAGAGAATTAACTTCTTAACGGTCTTTTAGTAGTATAGTAACTTGCAATTTTATTGTTTCTCCAGGGTGTACCAAAAACTGGTGGATGCGGGCAAGATCATCGTGAAAGAGGAGGTGGAACCACCTAAGGTGCCAATGGACTACGACTGGGCGAGGGTAAGTTCGTACATTTGATAAAGTACCTTTTATTTAAGTCTTAATAAGAGTGATTTTTCAACAAAATATAGTCAGATGTATGATTTTACAACTAGACTAGCTTTGTTGGACTTATCAGTTCTTATTTATGTCTTAAGAGTACTAATTTACTTCGAAAGGTACTAAATTTATTTCCAACGGTACTTATTTCTTTCTAAGAGTACAATTTTGTTTCCAAGGGTACTAATTTATTTCTAAAAGGTACCAATTGTACTAAATTATTTCCATAAGTACTAATTCATTAGCAAGAGTACTAATTTATTACCAAAGGTACTATTTTTTCCCAAGGGTACTAATTTATTTCCAAGGGTACCAAATACTAATTTATTGTTCCAAGAGTACTAATTCACCCCNTTTAATCCCAAGGGTACTAAGTCACTACCAAAGGGTACTAATTTATTCCCAACGGTACTAATTACTATTTATCCTCCAGAAACTCGGCCTCATCCGCAAGCCAGCGGCGTTCATAAGCACCATCTGCGACGAGCGCGGCCAGGAGCTAAGCTACTGCGGCGTGCCCATCACGCAAGTGCTGGAAAGACAACTTGGTGTTGGAGGCACCATCAGTCTTCTCTGGTCAGTATCATCATCGATAGGTACTTATTTATATATTTATTTCTAAGAGTACTAATTTATTTCCAACGGTACTAATTTACTTCGAAAGGTACTAATTTATTACCAAAGGCACTAATTTATTTCCAAGAATACTAATTCAGTACCAATCAATCTGCCATATTATGAAGTTCACTGCTATAGTCTGGTCCGGGAGCACGTAGAATTTTGTCCAATGACCCCAAGCTACCCATTCTTATCGCTCGCGCGTAATTATATTGCTGTCGCGCTCGCACACTCACTGCGGGTGCCAGTCGCACAGCCGCGACAGCAATATAATTACGCGCGAGCGATAAGAATGGGTAGCTTGGGGTCATTGGACGAAATTCTACGTGCTCGGCGACTGGACTGTAGAGTGGAGATAGAATAATCATTCGCGCGTTTGGTCTAAACCTGCCTTAACATTTTGTTAATCTTCCCCAGGTTCCAACGCGAGCTCCCAGAATGGGCTTGCAAGTTCTTTGAGCTGGTGCTCATCGTGACCGCGGACCACGGGCCGGCCGTGTCCGGCGCACACAACACCATGGTCACCGCGCGCGCTGGGAAGGACCTGATATCGTCCGTCGTGTCCGGTCTACTGACCATTGTGAGTAGAACAGCTTTGTCTCTAACACCAGTATTCACCAACGATGCTTGCTTAAGTGAAGCATCAAATCGAACGCACAGCATTGAATATAGCTCTGTGATTGGTTCGTGTGTGAGACCTCATAGTAATGTTTGTGAACACAGGCGTAAATCTTGCAAAAGTTGGCATGCCACAGTGGTAAACAGCTTGCGGAAGTCAACTTCTGCAAGTTTTAATGCCCGTTTTCACCATCAATCCCTAATTTTTAAGTTACCCCTATGACAACAAAATTCCTGTTATTTGCACTTAAATTAGGGATTGATGGTGAAAACGGGCATAAAAACCTCGCTTAATGTTTGTTAACACAAGCAAGTTTATAAAAAAAGGAAATTCCAAACATTGTATGTAGAATAAGTTCTTTAAAAACATTTTTTTTGTAAACATTTTTTACTAAATAACTAAATGTTTGTACACAGGGCGACCGTTTCGGAGGCGCTTTAGACCGGGCGGCGCTAGACTTCTGTGCGGCTTACGATCGAGGCATCCACCCGCAGGAATTCGTCAACGAGAAACGCGCTAAAGGAGAGCTCATTATGGGCATTGGACATAGGTGCGTTGAACAATCGCTTTTATGACGTTGCAATAAGGTGTAGTTTCGTCCTACCTAGGCACCGAGGCGTACGACCTAAATAGGAGCAGAAGACAAACTACATACAAAGTGCGCACACAGACAACGCTCACCGACACTGTCGCGGTAAGTGTCACAAACCAGTCTATCACGATGGCGAATTGGACAGGATTATCTCCAATAATCGCAAACCACTCTAAACCAGTTCTTCAATAATCTCAAACCAGTCTAAACCACTGCGGGGGGGTTAATACTTCTTCAATAACCTCAAACCAGTCTAAACCACTACGGGGCGAATGTTGGACACTATATATTCAATAATCGCAAACCAGTCTAAAATAGTACGAGGCCGAATTGCAAACCACTCTAAACCAGTTGATGGCAAGTCGCAAACCACTCTAAACCAGTGTGATGGCGAATCGCAAACCAGTCTAAACCAGTGCGAGTGCTTTAGACGCGTCTATGTGTGCGTGTGATTGTCTTCTGTTACTGCCTGTTTTGTGGCACGACCGCGGCATCGAAGTTCATCAGTAGGTAGTAGTGTTAGCTCTTATGTAGCTGCAATAAGGTGTAGTTTCGGATGCGCCTTGGACAGGAGGCATCCATGCAAGAGTTCGTCAACGAGAAACGCGCTAAAGGAGAGCTCATTATGGGCATTGGACACAGGTATATAAATAAAGTCATTGTAATAATGTGTAAAGTATCCAGCATGATCATACTGGGAGGTAGAAGCGCCTAAGACGCATCGAACCAAATAGTTTTAAAAATCCAATTTAAAAAGTAATTAAAATTGGTGATATCTCAAAATTCATGAAACTTTTCTTTTAAGTGTCTTAGGCCCAACTACCTGTTAATGTGTGAAGTGCTAATTTTCTTTTCATCCTGCCTGCTGAATAGGCGGATAGTGAAATGTCTTATATTCAATTTTAACAAAGATTTAGCCCCTCCAAATATGAAATTAAGGATACAGGGCGTCCCAAATTGTGCGACGCACGAAGAGAGACGCGAACGACGCGACGCGAAGGCAAGGTTCCAAGGGCGTCATAGTCAAAAAAAGTTAGGAAAGTCCAACTTTTCAACCGACTTCAAAAAAGGAGGAGGTTCTCAATTCGACCCGTATGTTTTTTTTTTTTTTCTATGTTTGTTACGCGATAACTCCGCCAATTATGAACCGATTTGAACAAATCTTTTTTCGGCGTATAGGTAATACCTCAAGGGTGGTCCCATTTAAATTTAATAATAGAAAAAACAACCCCCAATGGTGGAAAATTGGGGATGAACTTTTTTATACGCAATATCTCCGCCGATTATAAATCAATTTGAAATATTATTTTTTTGTTGAATAGGTATTATCAAAAGGGTGGTTTCATGCGAATTTGAAGAAAATATTTCACCCCCAAGGGTGGAAAATTGGGGATGAACTTTTTTATACGCAATATTTTTAATTTTTAGTTTTTTTTTGTGTTCACGCATTTGAAGTCGGTTTTATTTTTTTTAAAAGTTAATTATTTTATTAAAACTATTTTTCTAATCTTTTCCAGAGTGAAATCAATAAACAACCCAGACTCTCGTGTGCGCGAGCTCAAAGCGTATGTCACATCCCGCTGGCCGTCATGGCCTGTCACCCGCTATGCGTTGGATGTGGAAGCGATCACCACTCGCAAGAAGCCGAATCTTATCCTGAACGTGGACGGAATAGTCGCCGCTGCCATGGTCGATCTGCTACGTCACGCACAGCTGTTTACACAGTAAGTAGTCACTACTGTCACTATCCCTACTGTCACTATCACTACTGTCACTGTTACTATAACTACTGTCGCTGTCACTACGGTCACTGTCATCCGCTATGCCACTGTCACCATACTACTGTCTCTGTCACCACTGTTACTGTCACTATCCCTACTGTCACTACTTACACTGACACCATCACTACTGTCACTGACACTTACTACTGTCACTGACACTCACTACTGTCACTGTCACCCGCTACGCGCTGAATGTGGAAGCGATTACTACCCTCAAGAAGCCGAATCTAATTCTGAACGTGGACGGAATAGTCGCCGCCGCCATGGTCGATCTGCTACGTCACGCGCAGCTGTTCACGCAGTGAGTACTTGTCACTACTGTCGCTGTCACTATCACTAGTGTCAGTCACTACTGGCACTGGCACTACTGTCACTGTCACTACTGTCGCTGTCATTACCGTCACTGTCACTATCGTCACTGTCACTACTGTCACTGTCACTATCACTAGTGTCAGTCACTACTGGCACTGGCACTACTGTCACTATCACCACTGTCACTACACTGATGTCACTGTCACTACACTAATGTCTCTGTCACCCGCTACGCGCTGGATGTTGAAGCGATCACCACTCGCAAGAAGCCGAATCTGATCCTGAATGTGGACGGAATAGTCGCCGCTGCCATGGTCGATCTGCTACGTCACGCGCAGCTGTTTACACAGTAAGTAGTCACTACTGTCACTATCCCTACTGTCACTATCACTACTGTCACTGTTACTATAACTACTGTCGCTGTCACTACGGTCACTGTCATCCGCTATGCCACTGTCACCATACTACTGTCTCTGTCACCACTGTTACTGTCACTATCCCTACTGTCACTACTTACACTGACACCATCACTACTGTCACTGACACTTACTACTGTCACTGACACTCACTACTGTCACTGTCACCCGCTACGCGCTGAATGTGGAAGCGATTACTACCTCAAGAAGCCGAATCTAATTCTGAACGTGGACGGAATAGTCGCCGCCGCCATGGTCGATCTGCTACGTCACGCGCAGCTGTTCACGCAGTGAGTACTTGTCACTACTGTCGCTGTCACTATCACTAGTGTCAGTCACTACTGGCACTGGCACTACTGTCACTGTCACTACTGTCGCTGTCATTACCGTCACTGTCACTATCGTCACTGTCACTACTGTCACTGTCACTATCACTAGTGTCAGTCACTACTGGCACTGGCACTACTGTCACTATCACCACTGTCACTACACTGATGTCACTGTCACTACACTAATGTCTCTGTCACCCGCTACGCGCTGGATGTTGAAGCGATCACCACTCGCAAGAAGCCGAATCTGATCCTGAATGTGGACGGAATAGTCGCCGCTGCCATGGTCGATCTGCTACGTCACGCGCAGCTGTTTACACAGTAAGTAGTCACTACTGTCACTATCCCTACTGTCACTATCACTACTGTCACTGTTACTATAACTACTGTCGCTGTCACTACGGTCACTGTCATCCGCTATGCCACTGTCACCATACTACTGTCTCTGTCACCACTGTTACTGTCACTATCCCTACTGTCACTACTTACACTGACACCATCACTACTGTCACTGACACTTACTACTGTCACTGACACTCACTACTGTCACTGTCACCCGCTACGCGCTGGATGTGGAAGCGATCACCACTCGCAAGAAGCCAAATCTGATCCTGAACTTGGACGGAATAGTCGCCGCTGCTATGGTCGACCTGCTACGTCACGCGCAGCTGTTTACGCAGTAAGTAGTCACTACTGTGACTGTCACTGTCACAACTGTCATGGAGGCCGTGGCGACCTGCGAGAAGCCGAATGGTTAAAGCTGCCATTTAGTGGTTATAGCTGTCAATGTCACTGTCAAACTCGCTGACGCTGACATTCGATGTCATTGTCAAACTCGCTTATACTGTCACTTGCTGACACTCACTCGCTGACACTGTCACTCGATGTCACTCAATCTCGCTGATACTGTCACTCGCTGTCACTGACAGCCACTCGATGTCACTGTCTCACTCATTGACACTGACACACTCACTCACTGTCACCCTCACCGGTCTCCAGTTTCTTTTCTGTGTGTGTGGTATCAATAAATTTAACTTTTTAAGTTGATTGTATTTATTGTTTTATTTTTTGGTATCAAATAAATGTTTTTTCTTTCTTTCTTTCAAACTAAATTCCTTCTTTCTTTCCCCAGGGAGGAAGGCAACAACTACATCCAAATGGGCTCGATCAACGCATTATTCGTGCTGGGCCGTACCATTGGCCTGGTGGGTCACTACCTCGACCAGAAGAGGATGAAACAGCCACTCTACCGCCACCCGTGGGACGATATCACCTACATGTCCCCCCTGCATTAGGTAACTAAGAAAAAAGGTACCCACATGAATGAATACGCAAGTGTGGGTATACCTTGGTTCCTGCACGCTGTTCAAGTCTTTTTCAAATCATTCAGTTCTTAGGCTCCTTCCAGGGCGTTTATACACGTCCTGAATATAGCTTGAGCCTTTTTAAAATCTAATCAAATAATTTATTCAGTAATGTCACTGTCACTAATGTCACTGTCAATATAGCTTGAGCCTTTTTCAAATCAAATCAAATAAAAATTACACAGTACTTAGCCCTACCAAGGTGCTGTCCCAAATATAGCTTGTCTTACCACCACTTCGGGACAACATAATATGGGCTGGTGCTTAGAAGAAGTGGCGGAAGAAACTCGGGCGCCTTTAAAACCATGTTTATTACTTAGCTACTTTAATAGTGGACACCGTAGTCAATTGACATACTGTCAAAGCTGTCAAAACGCGACTCCCAAATTTTGTATGGCAAATGTCATCAGGTTGCGAACTCTATTGACGGATAAGGTCTTGATTTTGATGCTATTAAAAATCTAATTGTACCGTTGCAAATACGCATACTAAGGGAGGATACACTATTGAGGACGTTACATTTAATTTTTTTTTTTGTTTTAAATTCAAAATATGTCTCTAAAAACAGCGTGTAGGAATCACATTTCAATCGGATTGAAGCAAAGCCGCGCGCTAAAGATTAGTCATTGTATGCAGGCTTCTAAATCCGTACATAGGTTAAGTGGCGATGGACAGATGTCTAAATTGGGGCAGCATGTTTATTCAGACATTTTTAAAAACGTAACTTTTAAATTTGAGTCTTTTTCAAATAGGTGTTTGAAGATTTGAGTCTTTTAAAACCGTTGTTTAAAAATTTGAGTCTTTCAAATCGTTGTTTGAAAATTTTAGTCTTTTTAAAATAGTTTTTCGAAAATTTCAGCCTTTTTCAAATCGTTATTTTAAAATCTGAGTCCTTTTCAATGCTAGTAGTATGACGTTTAAATCGCTAGGATGTAACCAAAGACTGGACACATGAAAAATAGATTTTCAGTTTGAAATATTAACCATAAAACATTATAAAGGTCACCTATTTAGAATTTTATTTGATGAATAGAATACAATGGTTTCTAATTTAGTTAAAGGTAAATTGTATGAGACCGCGAAAGGCCCGCGTAAACTATGTATAATAAATGTGTTTTTGACACTTGTAACATTCTGTACACTATATTCGCTAAATTACTTTAAAAAATAAAATCAATATCTATAAATTGCGAAATGAAGGCAAGTGCTTGCTTCATACCAACCAAGAAAAAATGTTAATATTAATTCCCTAAAGATAACTGATGTGAAAGATAATAAAAAATCACAATCTCACACTTATCAGAAGCCTTGCTTAGTAGTGCGAGATTGTTTTAATAATTTGAAATATTTCACACTGCGTTTATATAATTATCGTTTTTGTTAATATCCCATAAAAACTGTTGACATAACGTGACGTCACAATTCTAAGTTCTTTTATTTTTAAGTTGAAGCTGCGAAAGGAAGATGAATGCATGTGAGTCGTAACAAAATATTGAGTCTCTTTAGTTAAACTACATACATGTGATGTCATAGAACTTAAGGGTAATTATAATCTGTAGGTTTACTTTCCCGCGGTTTCTAAACGTCAAATTGCTGTCAAACGTCAAATAATGCGCTCGATTGTCAAATTGAACGTATGATTTGACAGGAGAAATTTAATTGACGTTTAAAAACCGCGTTCTAGTTTTGTCCAAGGGCGTTAAGGACACTTTTAAGGTTTTATTTTTTTTAGTTATTCTACTATGGGCACTTCTGCGGTACAATACATAAGTGAGATTGGCATTAAAAATTAACAACTACCTACTTTGACAAAATTTTGACAGCTTTTTCACTGCTGTCATTCGTAAATGGCAGTAGTGTCATTGTCTGATTACAAATAATTTAAAGTTTTTAAAGTTATTCTCATTGCTTGAATAATAAAGTAATTCTTCATACTGTATTGCAGAAGATTAAGATATATTTTAATCGTAATTATTATAAAATGGGGTTAGTTAAGGTTTAATATTAGGTGGAGGCTTTTTTCTGTGACGTCACTTATGTCATTTAACCAATAACGTACAGTCAACAACACATTATCTTCCACAAAATGTCAAATTTCGTCTTTGAAATTTCAAACTTAAACTACGGGCAATAAAGTTTCAAATTCATTGGGGGAATTTGTCATTTTGCGAAAGATTGATGTGCGGTCGAGTGTATAATAGTAACTTTTCGATACAGTCAGCGTCAAAAAGTTCGTGACACCCAAAGTAGCCAAAAAATTCGCAACACGACTTTGTTACAAGGTTTCGCGAATGAAAGATCCGCTAGATGGCGGGACGTGGATGTGGGGTCTGACTGCTGCGTGATTGGTGGATTTTGACATATCTGTCAATGTCATGTCAAAAATAACCAATTCTAAAACCGCGTCTACGTATTGCCATCTGGCGGATTTTTCATTCTCGAAAACCCTCATTGGAATAAGATTGTGTTGTCAACTTTTTGGACACTTTGGGTGTCACGAACAATTTTACGCTGACTGTACTACACTGTATTACCATCGTGTTCACATAAATAAACTGCAGTTTTTTAAAATAAAATATAAAAGTGTACAGAATGTGTCAAATGGTTTAAAAAAAACTTATTACAATGTCATAAAAAATAAAACTAAACTTTTTTCGTTATTACATACTAAATTTCTTCTCACGCTGCTGTAATCTGGTTAACTTCTTGTTGTATTCTATTCATTAAAAAATAAGGTTCACGAAATATTTTTTCTCAAAAAGTTTGACCGTTAATCTTTTCTTTTACGTGTCCTTTACATTTTATCCCTAGTCCTTATACTATTCTAGTTCATCTTTAAGGTGATCTTTAAACTAATTTTATAGTCTTTGGTAACAACCCTACGATTTGGACACCTGTGTTGTGAAAGCATCTAAGTAAAATTTTCAAAAAACTGAACATTATCCTTTCTAATTTAAATTGTTTGTCTTATTAATAAAATGCTGCCTCAAATGTTAGACATGACCTCTATTAAATTTAATATTAGTTAGATCACTAGCGGGTTTTGTAAAGATGTTATATGTATAATATTATTTTATTTAAACGATATACCGGGTGGTGTTATGTAATATTATAATTTAACAAAATCACAACGAGTTTTTTTAAATGTATTCCGACGATAAATTATTATTTTTAATGTAGATACTTTAAAATTGGTTAAAGTTTTATTAATCTTGTTTTTAAAGTACACTGCCGATCGATTTTACCGCCATCTAGCGAGTCAAACTTGCTAGGTAAACGGTTTCATTACATAACACCTGCCTCTATAGCAAGGCCTGCACCTGAAATGGGCATTCCACTTTTTTTTACATTTTGACGAAATGTTTCACTTGTTGTCATCGCATACATCCTGTTTTAAATCCTTTTTATGGAAATGTAATCAGATAATTACAATTTTTAACACCACTTCTCAGTCGGTCACCTAATTACTTTTTTTTTGTAATTTAATTACATCTTGTAAAACTAATTACATTTCCATATTCCATTCTCAGATGTTCACGTTATTGGTATATTTATAAATGTAATTATTAATGAAGCCGTTGTAATCAGTTGTAATTAAAATCTAAATGCATAGAGCACGTCCACTTTACTCGTAAGTACAATATAGATCTGTTATTTAAGTATAATAAATATATACATTGTTTCTCTGTTACCATCCTTTTCTAAAGTGGCATGTGTGAGCGAGACGAAAACTTAGAGCAACGAAGATTCTTGAGCACATAGCGTAGGTTTTAAGATTTAAAAGCACTGTATTCAAACATACTATATTTTTCGATGGATGCTATTTAATATGTATTTTTAATAACTAAAGTTGTATAATACCAGCTTTGTAGTAAATGTTTTTGTAATAAAATATATAAAAAAGTAACAAATAAAGAACAAATAGCTTGCACCATAGATATGCACTACAGTTGTTGTTAAATTATATTATGTTTATACAGAGAATTGTGTGTATATGTATAAGTAATGTTGTTATAAAGTACGTATAATATACACCTCTAATACTTGTATACATTACACACAGTATAAATTTAGGTCACAAAATCTGTTAATTTAGTGTTTAAACAAGATCTTTCGTTGACTTTTCGAAAATTAGTCGACAATTTAACAATTAATAATTTGGCAAAGTGTAAAGGCGTATAACGCATGTGCACTTTTTTACAGAGTCAAATAGTTCGCGACACCCAAAGTATCCAAAAAGTTCGCAACGTCTTTGTTACAATTGGAATAAGGTTGTGTCAACTTTTTGGCCACTTTGGGTGTCACGAATTATTTGACGCTAACTGTACAAGTGTTGACCTATTTAAGACCTTTCTACAAAAGTGCTCGATTTAAAACATTCCTACCGTTATCATTGCATTTTTGTTTTATTAAAAATACAGTGTTTGTGGACATAAGAAATTTTCTGTAACTTCTAACAATTTTACGAACAAATTCTCTTTATTTATGTATGTATGATACAATCTGTGTCTCGATGGATTGCTTTTAAATGTTTATAGGCTAAAAAGGCCCCTAAGTTGTAAGTTATCTAATTTATTGGTATATTTGTGAAATGGTTGGTATATGTAAATAATTGAAAATTGTCAACTAATTTGAATATATTTTTTTATTTACTGTATTTTTGTGTTTTATTCCGCTAATATAATAAATATATCGTATCGTTGCCTCACCAGATGGTGCCACAATGAGGGCTATCGTTTTTATACAGGGTGTCCCAAAAAAAAAGCCGAAGCCCAGAGATAGAGCATCACTAGGGCTACCCAAATCACCCCCATGTATGTTCCGCGATTTTCGATAGGTTTTGAATTGTGATTGTTTTAAATTTCTGTGCTTAGGTACTTTTGGTCCTTGTGGCGCGAATATTTAAAGTACATGCCTGATTTTTTTTATTATTGTCAGATGAATACTAGGCCTAGCTGATTTAGAAGTATTCATATTCATAACACGAATTCGAGGTAGCCCCCTAGTGATGTTCGGGTGCCCTCTCANCACGCAGTGAGTATTGTCACTACTGTCGCTGTCACTATCACTAGTGTCAGTCACTACTGGCACTGGCACTACTGTCACTGTCACTACCGGCACTGTCGCTACTGTCACTACTGTCGCTGTCACTCACTCTGCGCTGGATGTTGAAGCGATCACCACCCGCAAGAAGCCGAATCTGATCCTGAATGTGGACGGAATAGTCGCCGCCGCCATGGTCGATTAGCTTCGTCACGCGCAGCTGTTCACGCAGTGAGTACTTGTCACTACTGTCGCTGTCACTATCACTAGTGTCAGTCACTACTGGCACTGGCACTACTGTCACTGTCACTACTGTCGCTGTCACTACCGTCACTGTCACTACTGTCACTGTCACCCGCTACGCGCTGGATGTGGAAGCGATCACCACTCGCAAGAAGCCAAATCTGATCCTGAACTTGGACGGAATAGTCGCCGCTGCTATGATCGACCTGCTACGTCACGCGCAGCTGTTTACGCAGTAAGTAGTCACTACTGTGACTGTCACTGTCACAACTGTCATGGAGGCCGTGGCGACCTGCGAGAAGCCGAATGGTTAAAGCTGCCATTTAGTGGTTATAGCTGTCAATGTCACTGTCAAACTCGCTGACGCTGACATTCGATGTCATTGTCAAACTCGCTTATACTGTCACTTGCTGACACTTTCACTCCCTGACACTGTCACTGTCAAATTCGCTGATACTGTCACTCAATCTCGCTGATATAGTTCCAAAATACTGAACTGTCCTATGCATGACATTGACAGTGGGGCGCCACCGTCAATACCGGATCGCTAGTTCCGATTTTTGCCATGTTGGAAACCATATAGTTGAACGATGGTAGCGCGCCCCTGTCATTGAGTTTGGCGGGACAGTTCAGCGTGGATCATCTTTACTAGCTGTTAATGTCACTCGTAGTCACTGTAAAAAAAACTTGCTGACACTGTCACTCGATGTCACTGTCAAACTCGCTGACACTGTCACTCGCTGTCACTGACAGCCACTCGATGTCACTGCACTCGCTGTGACTAGCTGTCAATATCACTCGATGTCACTGTCAAACTCGTTGACACTGACACTCGATGTCCCGGTCAAACTCGCTGACATTGTCACTCGCTGTCACTGACAGCCACTCGATATCACTGTCTCACTCATTGACACTGACACACTCACTGTCACTGACACTCACCGGTCTCCAGTGGGTCTAGTCAAAATGCCATCCCAAACCAATAGGAAGTTTTCACTAATGTCAGTCGCCGCGTCACCAGTAATTCGATTCGATCGGAAAATGGCAGCCAAAATGCACATTGAACTACCAACGACGCGGCGATATAAAAGTTCATTCAAAATCGAATAAAAGTTAAAAAATGTCTATGACTTTGCGATTGTTTTTACTTTTTTTAGCTTTTTTTATTTTAATTTGTTTCTTCCTTCTTTCTGCTCTCTGTTTACGTCTATGCTTTGCCGTCAAACTAACTGTCAAAACGACATCGCGATACGGATTTGTCAAAACAGATTTAGGGTGGGTTGCACCATCTTAGTTTAACTTTGACAAACGTCTAAAATCTGTCAAACTCCATACAAAAAACACCGGTTAACGTCATAGTTACGGTCAAAGTTATAATACCTCAAGGGTGGTCCCATTTAAATTTAATAATAGAAAAAACAACCCCCAAGGGTGGAAAATTGGGGATGAACTTTTTTATACGCAATATCTCCGCCGATTATAAATCAATTTGAAATATTATTTTTTTGTTGAATAGGTATTATCAAAAGGGTGGTTTCATGCGAATTTGAAGAAAATATTTCACCCCCAAGGGTGGAAAATTGGGGATGAACTTTTTTATACGCAATATTTTTAATTTTTAGTTTTTTTTTGTGTTCACGCATTTGAAGTCGGTTTTATTTTTTTTAAAAGTTAATTATTTTATTAAAACTATTTTTCTAATCTTTTCCAGAGTGAAATCAATAAACAACCCAGACTCTCGTGTGCGCGAGCTCAAAGCGTACGTCACATCCCGCTGGCCGTCATGGCCTGTCACCCGCTATGCGTTGGATGTGGAAGCGATCACCACTCGCAAGAAGCCGAATCTTATCCTGAACGTGGACGGAATAGTCGCCGCTGCCATGGTCGATTTGCTACGTCACGCGCAGCTGTTTACGCAGTGAGTACTTGTCACTACTGTCGCTGTCACTATCACTAGTGTCAGTCACTACTGGCACTGGCACTACTGTCACTGTCACTACTGTCGCTGTCATTACCGTCACTGTCACTACTGTCACTGTCACTACCGTCACTGTCACTACTGTCACTGTCACCCGCTACGCGCTGGATGTGGAAGCGATCACCACTCGCAAGAAGCCGAATCTTATCCTGAATGTGGACGGAATAGTCGCCGCTGCCATGGTCGATCTGCTACGTCACGCGCAGCTGTTTACACAGTAAGTAGTCACTACTGTCACTATCCCTACTGTCACTATCACTACTGTCACTGTTACTATAACTACTGTCGCTGTCACTACGGTCACTGTCATCCGCTATGCCACTGTCACCATACTACTGTCTCTGTCACCACTGTTACTGTCACTATCCCTACTGTCACTACTTACACTGACACCATCACTACTGTCACTGACACTTACTACTGTCACTGACACTCACTACTGTCACTGTCACCCGCTACGCGCTGGATGTGGAAGCGATCACCACTCGCAAGAAGCCAAATCTGATCCTGAACTTGGACGGAATAGTCGCCGCTGCTATGGTCGACCTGCTACGTCACGCGCAGCTGTTTACGCAGTAAGTAGTCACTACTGTGACTGTCACTGTCACAACTGTCATGGAGGCCGTGGCGACCTGCGAGAAGCCGAATGGTTAAAGCTGCCATTTAGTGGTTATAGCTGTCAATGTCACTGTCAAACTCGCTGACGCTGACATTCGATGTCATTGTCAAACTCGCTTATACTGTCACTTGCTGACACTCACTCGCTGACACTGTCACTCGATGTCACTCAATCTCGCTGATACTGTCACTCGCTGTCACTGACAGCCACTCGATGTCACTGTCTCACTCATTGACACTGACACACTCACTCACTGTCACCCTCACCGGTCTCCAGTTTCTTTTCTGTGTGTGTGGTATCAATAAATTTAACTTTTTAAGTTGATTGTATTTATTGTTTTATTTTTTGGTATCAAATAAATGTTTTTTCTTTCTTTCTTTCAAACTAAATTCCTTCTTTCTTTCCCCAGGGAGGAAGGCAACAACTACATCCAAATGGGCTCGATCAACGCATTATTCGTGCTGGGCCGTACCATTGGCCTGGTGGGTCACTACCTCGACCAGAAGAGGATGAAACAGCCACTCTACCGCCACCCGTGGGACGATATCACCTACATGTCCCCCCTGCATTAGGTAACTAAGAAAAAAGGTACCCACATGAATGAAAAGGCAAGTGTGGGTATACCTTGATTCCTGCACGCTGTTCAAGTCTTTTTCAAATCATTCAGTTCTTAGGCTCGTTCCAGGGCGTTTATACACGTCCTGAATATAGCTTGAGCCTTTTTAAAATCTAATCAAATAATTTATTCAGTAATGTCACTGTCACTACTGTCACTGTCAATATAGCTTGAGCCTTTTTCAAATCAAATCAAATAAAATTTACACAGTACTTAGGCGCTACCAGGGTGCAGTCCCAAATATAGCTTGTCTTACCACCTTCCTTAGATACTTTATTAGTGGACACCGTAGTCAATTGACATACTGTCAAAGCTGTCAAAACGCGACTCCCAAATTTTGTATGGCAAATGTCATCAGGTTGCGAACTCAATTGACTGATAAGGTCTTGATTTTGAAGCTATTAAAAATCTAATTGTACCGTTTCAAATACACGTACTGAGGGATGATACACTATTGAGGACGTTACAAAATTTAATTATTTTTTTTATTTTTCATTCAAAATATAAGTCTTTAAAAAACAGCGTGTAGGAATCACATTACAAATCGGATTGAAGCAAAGTCGCGCGCTAAGATTAGTCATTCATTGTATGCAGGCTTCTAAATCCGTATATAGGTTAAGTGGCGATGGACAGATGTCTAAATTGGGGCAGCATGTTTATTCAGACATTTTAAAAGCCTTAATTTAAATTTTGAGTCTTTTTCCAATCGTTATTTGATGATTTGAGTCTTTTTCGAATCGTTATTTTACAATTTGAGCCTTTCAGATCTTTATTTGAAAATTTGAGTCTTTATCAAATCGTTATTAGAAAATTTGAGTCTTTCGAGTTTCTATTTGAAAATTTAAGTATTTTTCAAATCGTTATTTTAAAAATCTGAGTCCTTTTCAATGTTAGTAGTATGACGTTTAAATCGCTAGGGGCCGTTCAAGTATTACGTAAGCAGATTTCTTACCATTTTTTACCCCCCCGCCCCCCTTGTCATCAAAAGTAAGCAAAACACTTACCCCCTCCCCCTATGCTTACGTAAACATTTTTAGTCATAAATGTTTTTTATATTGTCATTTTTATAATAGGAAAATTCATGAAAATATTAGGTTTAACTGATACACATAGAGTAATATAATCAGAAATAAAGAACATAACAAACATAATTGCATCAATTATGCATCAACATATACACAAATGATAACTTTCAATGCTTACAATACGTTTAGTATCCAAACAAAACGCGCGCGGGCGGCCGGCCTCGCGTATAATAATATGCGGAGTTGCGGACTACGACTCTCAAATTTCAATGGGCAGTGTCGGCACGAGATTTAATTATTAGACAAGTGAATAGCGCACGGTAATTCCCCTAATCAGTTCTCAAAGCGAGTGCCTACGCATATTATAAAATATGTATTATTTGCGGGAATCCCCGAAAAAACGAAAATAACTAACGATGACGTAATCATCACCTAGACCCCCTACCCCCCATGTCATCCAAAATAAGCAAAACAGAGACCCCCCCACCCCTCCTTGGTGCTTACGTAATACTTAAACGGCCCCCTAGCAGAAGTAACCAAAGACTTTCAAAAGAAAAATAGATTTTCAGTTTGAAACATTAACCATAAAACATTAAGGTCAACGAATCTAAAGCTTGAATCGCGAAATTTAACGTCAAAACTCGAGTTAAATTCATCCATTTTGGGACTTCATTTTATACAGGAATCTGTGCTTTTATTCAAAATACGTACAGTCAGCGTCAAATAGTTCATGACACCCAAAGCAGCCAAAAAGTCCGCAACACGTCTTTGTTACAATTGGAATAAGGTTGTTTTGACAACTTTTGGCCACTTTGGGTGTCACTAATTATTTGACGCTTAGGGTTTCTGATTTCTCGACCTATTTTTTTTCTCGAGTTTCGGGAATTCTCGAGGCCAACGTCTCGAGTTTTCTCGAG